TCACACCGGGAACTGTAAAAATAAAGTTATCGCTAATATATGTGCCTTTCTATATTTTTCGTAAATCCCCGTTTGGTACGTTTAAAAGCGTCGTAAAATGCCGACGAGGGTGGGGGGTTCGAAATGCGAAAGTCCTAATGAAATACTCTTTCCAGATGCGCCCCCGTATCTAAACTACTGCACATGTCGTAAATTAGAAGGCTATACGTGGGGTTAGTTCGCGATAGGCTACTGGATTAGGTAGATTGTCAGTATACATTGGTGCCAAATGTCCTGTGAATACATTTGGGTTGATGAGAAAATAATGCCCATAGGATCTATATTCAATCGTTTGGCGCCTTTGGTGACATTTTTAATCTAAATATTTAAATAACTTTTATTTTATCTATTAATAACACTAGTTTTTAAAATCGAAAAAAAATCTGCCACCATATCCCATTATAATTTTCCCGAAAATTTAAAAAAAAAACAAATTTAGTGTGATTTTCGTGTATATATAGCTTGAAATCTAATTGATTGATTTTGTCAAACAAGCCCTTAAATTGAAGGAATTTGAGCCCTTTAAAACTTTCTTTTACATACGAGGTGTATTCAGAAAATATCGGGAATTTTCGTTTTTTGAAACAAATATTTATTTATTCGTCTACATTAATGTTGTCGCCTTCAAAATTGGATATTATGCACATGTGCCAGCTCTTCTTCCAATACTCGAAAAACTTCTAAAACTCGATCTTTGGGATAGCCTTTAGTTCTTTCAGCGATGCGCTTTTAATGTCATCTATGCTTGCAAAACCACAGCCCTTTAAGGTTCTCTTTATTTTTGGGAATAGGAAAAAGTCAGACAGAGGCATGTCTGGCGAATATGGAGGCTGGGGCATCATTACAGTATTGTTTTTGGCCAAAAATGTTGTTCAAAATTTAACAATTTTAGAACAAATTTTGCTGCCACGCGTTTCATACCCAAAACATTCGAAAAAATTTCATGAGATGAGCCAATCGATATATATATATTGGTATACCAACATCATCAGCGACTTCTCTGATGGTTTATAACCATTTATCCACTTTTTCCATGTTTTTATCGGTTGTTAATGCGCTTGTGCGTTCGGGGCGTTCGTCATCTTCAACGTCTTCACGACCATCTTGGAAACTCTTATACCACTTGTAAACTCTTGTTTTACTTATAACAGGCTAACTATAGGCCTTTGTTAACATTTCACAGAGTTTATTTAATTTTTTAAGCAAAATTGGATACAAATTCTTTGATCCATTTCTTTTAACGAACGAAAAATAGCCGATCTCATAAAACACGTATAACCTTAGCGGCTGCCACAGACAAAGTAAACAATGAAAACTGCTAAAGTTTTTATCATACTTCGGGGGCGTATATACCAACATTATAAAGAAAATTTTATGACAACCGGACCCTCCGAACCCGCGAAATTTAACAATTCCCGTTATTTTCTGAACACACCGCCTACCTTTGATATCGGATAAGTATTTTGACGCTAGCGATTTTAATAACTTAAAAAATTCGTTTTTATGGCAAAAATTGAGGTCGAAAATTTACATATCGTCCTGGGAAAGGTTTAAATCAAACAGATAACTCCAGTTTGAATTTTTTTTCGTCAAGCTGACATTTTTACAAAAAAAATAAGCTAATGTTGATAGAAATACATGGAAAAATGGCGAATTTACGAATTTTTTAGTGGAAGACCAAAATTCAGCTTTTTGACGATTTTTATTTTTATTTATTTTCTTTTATTTTGTAATATGTTTATTCTTTAATGAAAACCTAATTAAAGTGCATGATTGGAATTTTTTGAGTTTTTACGTACTTTTTTTTCACCGAAAACATTATTCAAAATTTAAATTTGTTGGCATAGTGACATTTTACTGCTATTTTTTATATTTCCACAAGGTATTTTTATCAAAGCCACAGAAAAAATCATATTATTAAAAAATGTGCGACTTACATCCTCCTAAATAACTGAAAAACTATGTGCCCAACCATGCAATTTAATAAAGAAAAGCATTTAGATGTTTAGATGAAAAAAAAAACGATATTTTTTGAATAATAAAAAAACATTAAATTGATGGCGCTTGAGTTATGTAGAAGTAATATTTTTTGTCAGAAAAGGGCCACCCGTTGTTAAATGTTTTACCAGAATAGTTTGCATTTGAATATTTGTTATGATCTGCTTTATATATGGCGTTATGTTTAAAATATTACCACTCTGCCATTAACTATTTAACACAAAAGTTGTCCCACTTTAGTAAACAAATTAAAACCCTTTTAGGATTAATTATATTGACTCTTAAGGTAATTTAGTCTGCTGCAAGTATATTTTTAATGCAAATAAGTTAATACTCAGTGGTATCATTTGCCCTATCATGCCTAACTACCCTGTACCCTACTAGTTTATTCACACATTTTGTAATTTTAACATTTATACCTACACCTACACAAATTTTTAATTTTTTTATATTGCCATTTTTAATATTTTCTATTTATATTCTAGATCTTTTTACACAAAACTTTTGTTATGTACCTTTTTTTTAAATTGTATTATTTTTTGTTTTAATTTTCTAAAAGCTATCAGTTACACTTTTACACCATTTTGTATAAAAAAAGTTTTGGAATATCTAAATATATATTTTCAAACAAAAATAATTATTATTTAAATGTCAATAAAGCTAAAAGTACCCAAAAGCACCCCACATTGTTTCTTATGTAATAAATAGCTCCGTTCTTTCAAGTAACTTATTGAGGGTTAAAACATCTTAAATCGCGAAGACGATGCAATATATCAAGTGGCACGGTTACTGCTGCCAAATTAATTGACATGCATGCCATAACTTCCAAGAAAAACAATTTTTTGAACATTTTTGTTGCGCGGCTGCCAAAAGGCCAATGCACCTGGCATTCGCAACGTTTTTCTTAATTATGTATTACCGAACACCTAATTATTACTTCAATACTTTTATATATATGATATTTATTAATTATTACTTTCGGGAAATTACAAAACTAATTTGTTTTAATACAAGGTAGGTAGGTACCTAATTGTTTTTCAATATACAAGAAAAAGTATTTTCTGGAAATCATTATTTGTTAATAAACTCCCAATAAATATTTTTGTTTTTATAGTGCTTGCCATAAATATTATATCACCTAAAATATAAAACTTTATTTTTTAATTTTGTTAATGAAATATTTATATTACTATTATATACCCCTTTAAAAGAGCTTATAAAGGAGTTTATAAAGGTTATCGTTACCTGTATTTAGAAACAATATAAAACCCAAGTTATCCAGGGTGTCCAAAATGTGATGGGATAGCATTGCTATCTCGGAAACGGTTATAGTTGGAATCAAAAGTTGCGTCAGGAGTTTAAAAGTTGCGTAATTACATGCCTTTTAATATGGCATACAAGCAAAAAATCAGCGGTTCTCAAAATATTAAAAAAAAAACTGAAAATCGGTTAAAACTTATTATCGCTATAATTTTTTTATTTATAGGAATTTTAAAAAACTGAAAGGTTGGTTGGTGTAAAAAATTTGGGGAATGGAAAAGTGAGTTAAATTTGCAGGTGTGTGCATTCTAATGGCCAAATTATTGTAGTATAAGTCCCGAACAAATTGGTATAATTAGCTTAAACAAATGCTTTGTATTCTATAGAAAAGTAAATATTCGATAAATTGACATCGATCTATTCCGCCATGATGGTTGCCGTTTAGAAATCGAAATTATGTAAATTTAAGTTTAAACAATCTCACTACATTAAATTCTAAATAATAAACATTATAAATAAAAAAGTTACTAAATGTCAGGGTTGTACTTCATATTATCTAATTATTTTAATAAATCATTCTTAAAGGGGATTTTCCATGAACCCTGCGTAAAATTAAATATACTTTATATCGATTTTCTTGAATTTGGGATCTACTGAACTTTACTCACGGATTCACATTTATTTCCCGTAATTAGTTAAGTGATTTTTACCAGGGATTGTGCGATGGCGACATTTAATTTATGATCGCTGGCCGCGGTCTCCTGGCACAAGAAGCCCCTCAATTGGAATGATCTCGAAGCCTATTATTATTTACTCCTTATTTTAGGATTAGGTCTGAATTCTAATAAATATTACATGAAAAATCATGTAACAGTAAATTTAAATTCAACATTTAATAATTATACAACTGATCTTATGCTTATGATGTATTTATTTATATACTATGTGGGTTGTGGTCGCAGTATGGAGATTTTTCGTGTGATTTAAGGGTTTGTAGGATGTCCCTTTTTTTCAGAGTTCCCTTTCCCTTTTTGTTGCTTTATCGAAATAAATTACATTATTGTTTGTTATAAATTTTTAGTGTTTTGTACGTTTAACTCACTTCCCCAATTCCTCATTTTGGAGTTCAAACGTGATTTTTTTTTATTTACTTCCCTTTTAATACTTTTCCCATGAATACAACACCTCTAAAGGGCCTTGGGTTACTAAATTATTAAGCTTCATTACCGTAAGTATTTTTAATATTTATTTGCCCTGGTGTTATATTTTATTTTATCACTCAGGGTGTAACTTTTACAGATTCTTTGCTGGGAGGTTTGTACTCTTACACCTTATATGCCCATTATAAAACTCGTAAACTAAATTGCGATTTTAAAAAACCTTGTTATAATCTTAAATAGGTACTTTGACTGCCATAATATAAAATTTATATAACTTATTTTTAACCTAAGTAATACAAATTGTTTATTGGGCTATAGACATAAATAATAATTTATTGAAATAGCATTGGGTTTGTTTGCAATCTAAATAGTAAGTTTCTAAATCTATTTAAACTGTAATCGTCCGTTCTTATCAAACTTAAAAATAAACATGTGCGAATTTCTATGCAAAACTAGGTCACACACACACAAACTGTTTATTTTAGCTAACGTTGTTGAAAATTTCGACGCATTTCGATTAATTTTCCCAGAATATTTGCTTACCTTATTGGCGGAAGCGTCGTAAGCAACTCAGGTTTTTCGCTCAATTTTCTGGGTTCCGGCACGTCGATTTTCGGCAATTTTAATGCTGGTTTGTGCTTTAGCGGTTTTTTGGATAATTTGCATGTGCCTGAGAGTTTTAAGGTTTTAGCGAATTTTACAAAACTTTTTTCGCTGCCCTCTGTCTCCCGCAAAACTTGCTAAAAAGATTGTTTATTTTATTATATTATTGTTTTAATCATCAAATTATTACATCCAAAATTTCGTTTAGTATTCCATCTATTCCAGCTTCCCTCTTAAGTTCCAATTTGGAGTCTACATAAGGAATGCTTATTTTATCTTCTTCGATGCTTTCAGTAATCTGAAAAAAATATAAAGTATACAAGGAGATTATTTACAGGTGAAGGAAATAGTCGATTATAATTGACTATTCTTCACGAGTTGCACATATTATTTTGTAAAAATGATTTGACAGATACTTAATTAAGTAGTTAAGTAAAACACTTAAGTGTTTTGGTTTTCGGTGTTAAGTTTTTTAACATTGTTTATTGCAGGAGATATTTAATTTTTAAAGCCACCAATGAGAACGCATTTTTTGTTACATTGTTTGTGTTTGCAAAAGACGCCGCAAGTGCTGGGTCAAAAGGCGGGACTTGACCTACCTATATAGGTATTTTTTTTTATTTTTAAGTCATTTAAAATCTCACGTCAACTTTTGGGTTCAAAGAATATAAGTATTATAATTCAAATTTGTCAAATCAATTTTTTTTTGGGTTTATCATGTTGTCCGCAATGAAAGATAATGGCTAGAATCTCACGTGAGGGATAGGGGGGGTCTATCACATCTCACCAAATCTCACCAAGGGGGAGGGAGGGGTCCAAATGATCAGAAAAAGGCCTCACGTAATTAATGGATGTCCCCTTACCATTGCTACCATTTTAACACAAAGTCGGTTAAATTAGGAAGTTTGCATTTTTCTTCTGATTTAAATGTTGCAAACAGAAAAACAATTAAACGTCAAGTTTCCGAAATATTTACAGAAATAACAATTTTTTTTAAATACCCTGTACAGGGTAATCCCCTATAATGTCGCCCCCTTTAACTTTTTTATTTTAAGTGTCCCAAAAAATTTAAAAGTGTGGTTATGTAGGTACTAAAAAATACTTTTGTTCTACGTATAAAGAAAATTGGAAAATTGATCAGTATACAGGGAAAAACAAAATGTTTATTTTTTTTCAATGAATCACGCTATATATGTATTTATTTTTCGATTCCTATAACATACTATATACCTAAATTCAACCGTTTCTGAAATATTTAAATTATTTTAAGATAATAAGTTGAAATATTATAATACCTAGTTCATCTTTCTCTGTCTGAGTACGCCATTCCCAGATAGCACAAGATAGCCCACGGACATCCTATTTAGGTTATTCTCGGCTTAGCCAGGCCTAACGTGTCTGGGACATACATAGGACGTCAAGTCTAGACCCAGTCCGGCTTAGCCTGGATAGGCGTATTTTGGACGTCCAAAATACGCCTAATAAGGCTAAGCCGGACCAGGTCTAGACTTGACGTTCTATGGATGTCCCAGACCGGTTCGGCCTGGCTAAGCCGAGAATAACCTAAATAGGGCGTCTCTTTTCACACAGCACAGGATGTCCAGAGGGCGTCCATTGGACGTCCTTTGGACATCTTGTACTATGTGGGTTGGCTATCATGCCTAAACTTTTAGGTCAAGCAATTTTCGGATATGTAATAAATTGTGAGAAATATCATGTAAGTTCGAATTACATAAACCACCTATTTTTATGAGGTTACTCTTTTGCCTTCTTTAGATGTTCGTGGGACAGCCTGAGGGGGTCACAGCTGTGAGAGAGACAAACAAATCGATAAGCCATATTATAAGAAAGATTCATTAACAAAAAACAGAAGTTTATTATTAAATATAGTTAATAATATCTATTCGTTCTTCAATCGTTTAAATTATTTTAATGTACCTATATAAAACCGGTATTATAACGTGTAGTTTTGAATTTAGGGGTAGAACCGAACGGGTTCGTGACGACGTTTCCCATAATCCGTTGCCAATGACGTTCTTTTTCTATGGTGGCGTAATGGTGGTATTTCTTCTCTGCTCTTTGGAATTTATCGGAATTTTCCAGAGGTAAAGAATGTATTTAAGTGCAATTAGTGCTGTTTCGTGCTTTATTAATAATTTTCTTTTCATAAACAACAATAATTGTTGAACAATTGTATGTTAACATAAGCAGCTTGAAGATCGTGTTCATGTTTTGTCTTAAGATTCCGATAAATTTGCCAACGACTTCATAGAAATTTTCTTAGAAGTTGGTTGTACCCAGACGTATAATAAAATCGAGAATAAATTCAAGTAAGTAATTTAATTAGGTTTGTCTTGACTAATATACTGTACCACAAACATTTGTGCTGTAGTTAGGTGAATAAAAATGTTTAGTTAAAAATTGTAGGTGTTTTATTTTTTATTCCTGTCAGCCAAATTATGGCCACATTTGGTCCTAGGACGGTCTTTAATAGACCATAATAGGACGGCCAAAGGCCAACCAAAAGTGTCTACTTTGGAAGTCCTACGGACGTCCATTCGTGGTCTTCGGATATCCGTAGGACGTCTTCTATGTCCTGAGTTGACGTCCTAAGGATATCCAGTGGACGTCTGTGTGCTGTTTGGGTTTTTACTTATTTAACAAGACATATTGACATAATGTCACTATAGTAATTTATTTTCAATAAAATTTTGGTATTTGGCTTCTTAATTTCTAACAGTTAAAAAACATTTAATGATAACATTTCGAATGCGAATATTTCAGAAACGGTTGAATTTAGGTATATAGTTTGTTTTAAAATAATTATGAATTGGGTATGCTCAGAATTTTACAAGGAATCGAAAAATAAATTCATATATAGGGTGATCCATTAAAAAAATAAACTTTCGGCATATCTTTTTAACATCGATCAAAATCTATTATAGCCTATAACCACCCATCAAAGTAGGTATCCTATAATTTATAGGATACCTACTTTGATGGGTGGTTAATTACCTGTTGCCCCAGAAGATATTTCAAAATATCCTCGTCAAAATCTATATCGCTAAAATCATTTTCAGTAGCACTACCAGTTTTGCGAGTTGTAGTTTCGTCTTGGCAGACCGAAGGAGCTGGTTGTGGAGGTATGAAGGAAGGAACACTAAATAATTCATCTTCTGCATAAACTAAAAACAAACCGAAATAAAAAATATGATTAATTTGAGATGTTTACCCCCCATTTCTTCCATTTCTTCTGGCTCCACTTCTACCGGTATTCTCTTTTGTGTTTCTACTTTTCCATAGCACATTGTATCGGGTTCAGATGGTTCTGGAGGATTATCCGGTGTCCACAAAGGATGATTTACGTAATACGGTTCGCTTATATGGTGAAAATAAAACTCAATTTCCAACAATTTTACCATCGCTTCATAAGTACATTCCAACACATAAGATATTTTACGTTTTTCCAAATGCTTCTCATATATTTGGTCTAAAACGTTGTTTATAATCTCGTCCCGTATTTCGTATGGTATCATATCATCCTCTTCCTTTTCTAGTATTTTTTCCCTTCAAATAACAGTAATATATAGAATAATGCTAAAAATCTATAAAATAATGTTTATATTACAGGTAATTATCCTGAAATGATGGTCTATTTAAATTAATACGCGAATTTCTTGATTTTATCGAAGCGCTTCTTTTGGACATCTTAAATTCAAACTTAGTTCAATAGCGCAATCCTAGGTGGCGGCACTAATCAACCAAATGTTCGACTTAAATATATTTTAATGGGTAATCTACAAATTAACCAATTTTTGTTGTTTTTAACCACTAATTGTTTGTATTTTATTAATTGTTCGTTTACTTAAGTAGAGATTATATTCCTTAAAAGTGTTAAAACTTCACCCATACAATCCATTTCTAACTTCAAGAATATTTATGTCAAAGTTAACCTAAAAACCGCTTTGGTATATTTTAGCCTAAAAATATAAATTTCCAGCATATTGTGACCTAACTTTTATATGACATGGTACCATTGCAGTTAACATTAGCCATATTGAAGCCGCACGTTCTAAAAAACCCGGTAGCGACAGAAAAAATCAAATACGTCATATTGCAATCAGAATTTAAGATTGTAAAGTTGAAAACCACCACAATAAGTCTTAAAAAAGCACAGGAGTTTTATGGCGAGCATAAAGGGAAGTTTTTCTATAAGAGATTGTTATCTTTTATGACAAGGTAATGTTATCGTTTAAAAAATTCTCATATTTTTATAGAATTTATAAAAAATGTAGGTAAACAGATAAATTACTTACTTGCTTGAAATAAAAAAGTGATAAAATAGTCAATCACCTTTTTATCTCTTGTTAATCATATTAACATTCTTATATATTTGTGCTAAATGATTTTGTGCTTTATCAGGGCTAAGAATTATTCTTTAAGCACAGAACACAATCAAATATCAGTATGGTTATACTGCTTTGGGGTCAGAAATAAATAATATATATATACAAAATCTTTTTAAATATATTTATACACCTATACCTATAGGTACAGGGTTCAAGTTGATATTCTTAAAACACTTATATCGGGCTTAATTTAAGCCCCAAATTGACTTTCTTAAAACAGTTGTATATAGCTTAAGCTGACTTTTAAAATAGTTAACTGATAAAATTATGAAGCCTTTTAAAATGTGGCCTGATTTTTGAGTAATAATCCTTTTTAAAAATGTCGCATAAAATACGGATCTTTTGACTTGCACAGTAGGGTGTGCCCAAATAACAAATGGTATCATAACCAGTCAATAAATAGATATACAAAATATACAAGACCTATTTTTGTAGGAAATTGTACTCTTTACAAAAAGGGTCTTTTGCGTTTTTTTATGAAAATGATAATTGTTTTATTTATTTCATTCTTTGACCTATAATATCATTTAAATGAATGGTTTTATGAAATGAATATAAATACCTTTTTGTGGTGTAAAATTTTTTACAAAAATATATCTTGTATATTGTTTCAAGTCTATTTATTAGCGAGTTAAATTTTTAGATGATATCCAAGTGAAAAAACAACTTGGGAAATAACTGTTATTTTTTGTTTTTAGCGGACCTTCAGAGGTTATGATTATGGCTAAAAGGGATGCAATCTCACATTGGAGGCAATTAATGGGGCCCACCAAAGTATATAAGGCACAGTTTGAGGCCCCAAATAGTATAAGGGGCATGTTTGGCCTGTCTGACACACAAAATGCTGCACATGGCTCAGGTATACATATTAGACTGGGCCAAAAAAAATCGACTATTTTTTTTTGTAAAGTATATCGAAAATATTGTTTGGGGTGACAAAAAAAAAATATGGTGAAAGTTTGACTTCATAATATTAATATTAAGAGGTCTATTATCGCAATTTTAGATTTTTTTTCCTGAGCGAGTTATTGTCTCAGAACTCCCAAACCATTGAGTTTAACAAAATTGACTCTAGAATATTTTTTGAAGAAAATTGAATGCTCTACAAAAAAGGTTTGATTGAAATTTCCCGTCAGATGAACCGTTTTTTTACAATCATGCCTTAAACATTGGTCCTATATATAGTTTTACAATTTGATCTTTTAACTTTGGAATTTTCTAATTCATGTAAAAATCAGTATCTGGAAAAAAAAACCGATAAATATTCTTATGGAAAATGAAATGCTCTACAAAAAAAGTCTTTTATCATTTTTGGCTAAATTCTCCCCATCAATATTTATTCAAGGTTAAATTTGAAGTCAAAACCAAATTTTAACCTTGAATAACTTTTGATTGAGTGAATTGAGCCAAAAATGTTGAGAGGTTTTTTTTGTAAAGCATTTGATTTCTCATAAGAATATTTATCGGTTTTTTATGGATACTAATTTTTACATAAATTACAAAATTCCAATTTAGATCAAAATGTAAAACTATACCAATTTTTAAGGCATGATTTTAAGGAAACGGTTCATCTGACGGAAAATTTCACTTTAACCTTTTTTGTAGAGCATTTAATTAAAAAAAAATATTTTCGAGTCAATTTTGTTAAACTCAATGCTTGGGTAGTTCTGAGACAAATACTTGCTGAGGAAAAAAAAATTAAAAAATAATATTAATATTATGGACTCAAACTTTCACAATAATTTTTTTTTGTCACCCCAAACCATATTTTTAATATACTTTTCAAAAAAAATAGTTGATATTTTTGGCCCTGTCTAATACATATGTTTACATTATATACTCAGTAAGTATTGCTTACCCTTAATATTTTATGTTCTATTATTTTTTCAGATTCACCTGAATCAGCTAAAAGAGAAATTGGTATATTTTTTCCTGAATTTAACTATGATAAGTGGTTCAAAGAGGATGAAATGCATTTTAGAAACAATGATGTTCACTTTGTACCGTCTTTATTTATACATCAAATTAACAACAAGACAATTTGACATAACTTGGTTTAATTTAGAATTGTTTTATTGTATTTTGTACCTGATATACATTTATTTTATAAAGCTTTATGATTATGTTGTATATGTAAATAAATGTTTATTTTATAAATGAAGTTAAAAAATATATACTTATAATTTACAATAAATTATTTTATAAATATACATTACACAATTCAATTTATTTAGAATAAATATTTACAAAATCGGCTAAATTTATAATTTAATCATTAATTTTGACATAAACTTTGGGCCTTTGAAAAATTTTAATTCCCCCGTCAATTTTCTTTAATTCTTCTTCAATTTCCATTTTTCTTTTCCTCATTCTTAATGTGTCACTCCTAACAGGCATAGAGTTTAACTCTTGAATTCTATCTGCATAGCCTAAATAGAGAAAAAATTAAATAACTATCTAGTTATTAATTTTAAAACCTCTAGAGGTTTAAAAGAATTAGTAAATTGTAAATTGTAAAAATGCTGAGAAAAAGCTTTTTTATTTATAAGTTTTCTCCATACCAAAAAAAATTAAAATTTACCACTATATTTCAGAAAGCATTTTAAAGTTTTTATTTATAAACTTATTTTAATTAACATATTTAATTTAATTTGTATAAACTTACTTTGTCGTAAATTCCTCAAAGTAATTTTTCTGTCCTCTTCGGGCAACAAAACATAACCAGGTGGACACTCTTCTTGGTCTACTTCTGCAGCAGCTTCCTCCTCTTTTTTATCCCTAATATATTTTGGCAATTGTCCAGCTTCATGAGGTGAAGAGGGCGCTTTTTTTTGCACTTGTTTTACATGCTTTGGTTTGATATTTTTCATATTTTCTCTGACAAAATCTCTTCCTTCAGTTAAATCCAAATTTTCCATACCCTGTGAAACGTTTTCTGTGTCGCCTTGTCCGCGACCTCTCTTTGTTTTTTTTGTAGGTGTCCGTGCAAACTTTATTACTCCTGTTTCATATAACTTAACAACATCGTCATTTTTTTCAGTTTGCATCGATCGATGGGTAAATTTCTCTGTAGTACTTGAATTTTTACTTTTTTTTGCAGTTTCCGATTTACTTTCAAACGATTTTTTTTCCTGTGTCGTCGTAGAACTTACCATGCTATGGATTGATTTTTCTTTTGCATACCGATGTGACTTATTACTAACAGGTGCATTTTTTGTGGGAATATTTTTGAATCTGTCATCTTTGCTTTGCTTAGGTTGTATAATCCCTGCGTCTTGCAAAATCCCCTGCATCTGCTTTATTTGCTTGACGTTTTCTTTAATGAAATTTCTTCTGTGGACAGGTTCTGAAAATTAATCAAATAAATATTTAACAAAATTTAACGAGGGTGCTTACTTGGTTCGGGGAAAACGCCCCGTAAAGTTGTAGAATTCATAACTCACACATATCAGAGTGCGTGCGGTAATTTTTCTGAGAAATATTCAATATTTGTGTTAATACATTCTTTGACAACAAATTTGTAATTTCAAATTGTTTGTTCGGGTGGCAACATGATAAAAATAAAAACAAATTTAGAAACACCTAAAATCGGCTAAGTGAACTTTATTTAGCAAAAGTCTATACAATTAATTCATTTAAAATGCGTTTACGTTCACACTTGTATCGATTTTTTCGTAATTTTTTAATTATTTAGCACGGTATCATTCCTCATGTTGGTATTGATTATTGAATTTACAAGGGCGCCACCTGTTATTATGTTGGTAATGCAGGTTGCAATGTGAGAACTGTCAAGTAAATGTTTAAATCTTTATTATTTACAACAAATAATAATAAATAACTTAAATATAACAATGAAAAAGGTGGATTTGTCAAAATTTAAAATACAAACAAGGAGTAGATTAAACAATAACAAAGAATCAAACGAAACAGGTAAGTTTGGTTATTTGAAAAATGTTTTCTTATTAATTTATTATTTAGTCTTTTAAATCTCTTTTTAGAAATCAATGTTTCTAATAAAATAAAATCAAAATATAAGAAAAAACCGTTAAATACAGATACAGAACTTGGGAAGGAGTTAGTTGCTGCTGATAATAATTTAGAAAATGCGGTAAAAATTAAACTAGAACCAAAAGTTGAAAATTCACAAAATATCAAAGAAAATATTGATAATAAGCTCAAAATATCTAAACTAAAACGCGAACACATAGAAATTAAGTATGAGGAACCAACAACGTCAAAAATAAAACAAGGGGATGGTAAACCATATAATTGGGAATTAATTTTGAAAAACCTTAGGGAAATGAGAAAAAATGCAGATGCTCCTGTAGATAAAATGGGTTGTGATAAATGTTCTGATGAAGAGGCCTCTCCTAAAGTAAATTGATGGATTTTAAAAATGTAAAATAAAAAATTATGTTTTTTAGGTCATACGATACCAATGCTTATTATCTTTAATGCTAAGTAGTCAAACTAGGGATGAAGTAACACATGCTGCCATGATGAGATTACGACAACATGGTTGTATGGTAGATCATATATTAGAAACAGATGATGATGTATTGGGGAAACTGATATATCCAGTTGGATTTTGGAAGGTTTGTCAATTTTAAATAAAATTAACAATTATTGAATTAATTATATTGTAGAGCAAGGTAAAATTCATTAAAAAAACAACAGAGATATTAAAAAATGAATATAAGGGTGATATACCAAATACTGTAAAAGATTTGTGTAAATTACCTGGGGTGGGCCCCAAAATGGCTCACTTGTGTATGAAATCAGCATGGGGTAAAGTTACAGGAATAGGTAAATACATAAAAAAACAACTTTTTACACTCTAAATTCTTAAATTTTTAGGTGTTGATACTCATGTGCACAGAATATCAAATCGTCTAGGTTGGGTTGACACAAAAACCCCTGAAGAAACACGAAAATCCCTAGAAGATTGGCTACCCTTGGAATTGTGGAGTGAAGTTAATCATTTACTGGTGGGTTTTGGGCAACAAATCTGCCAACCATTAAGACCACAATGTCCCACATGTTTAAACCATGAAATTTGCCCTTATGGTATAAAATATATTAATAACGAATTACCTGTCAAGCCAAAAAAGATTAAAGGAAAATAATATTTGTAAAAAACTATTTTATTTTGTACAAAATTAACACTTAATAGATTACTGCTTTTTATTAAAACTGTGTTTCTTTTTATCCTTCTTCTCCCTTGTTTTCATTCTTTGAGTTTTCATCTGCCGGGACTTCTTTTTTTGTTTTTGTCTTTCCAATTTATTTTTCATTTGAAAAGCTTTACTTTTTTGAACATTTTTAGTTGCTTGTTTCTTTAATTCTTTTTTTATTTGTTTCTCACTGTCAAACTTCCTTTTTTCCACTTTCTCCTTTAATTTAGGCTTTTTTTTTAATTCCATACCAGGAACTTCTTCCACATCTTTACTGTTTTCCTCTATTTCTTCCTCTTCTTCTGAAGATTCATATTTTGGCTGATTTGCCCCAATCCAGTTATTTTTTTTTGCTATGTCATTTGTAGATAGTTCTACAATTTTTACTGTCACTTCATCATCTTCGTATTCTTCTTGTAGTAAGTTTTCCAATTCAGGAATGGGCCGATGTGATACAACTAACTTTTTGTAAGATTCTTTAGCCTCTGCTTTTAAACGTTTTCTTTCTTCTTTCAATTCTTTTTCCAGCTTATCTTTTGCATACTTTTTTCTTTGCAACTTTCTTTTATGAAACCCTGTAAGAAATTCCCTAAAAAATAAACAAATTTATTGGTTAAAGACGTGACTTTTTGAGGTTATGTTAACAACAATTTTATTACATAAAGCAAAATATTGAGACATTTTGTGAAAAACATGAACTTACTTTCTTTTAATTTCATCGAACACTAAATTTACTTTATTAAATCTGTTTTTCTGCTTTTTTGGCCTTTTTCTGACAGCTCCGTCCTCCATGTTTATTATACCTAACCTAACAAATGTCAATGCATCTGTTCTGCGCGTCAGTGACAACTTTGCACTCATAAGTGGGCTTTAAATTCAATTTATAATTATGTTGTGTAATGTCTCGCAAAGAAATTTAATGGGTTTGTGTAAAATAATATTCTTTATCATATAAATGCCTAATTGTATATTTTTCATGGTGTTTTTATATTCTTATGAATACAAGCTTTGAAAACATTGATCATCCCTTTGAGGTTAGTTGTCAAAATTTGGACCAATCAGAGGCATTTGGTCGCATAAAGTCGGGCTCATCGTGAACATGGCAGACAGTATAAATTTGAAACTCGAACGATGAACTTCCCTTCTGTGAAATCTCCAATTAAAAACCCATTCTTATTAAATTTTATATTAAAACGTCGAAAAATTAGCATGAAACGTTACAAAATGTTGTTGGATATCAAATAGGATTGATCTAAAGTCGTGTAAGTGCCTAATTTTGTGGGATTAGTGGTATTATTAGAATATTTCATGGATTTTTATTCTCCATATTAGAGAAAATGCTGCTTTGGCAGGATATCTTGTTGAATTATCATGTGATAACACTTAAAATAAAATAATATCAGTTCAAATCACTTGGTTTTTAATAATTTTGGTGATGTGTATTAGAAATAGAAATTTAGGACATAAATCCATATGGATTTATTTCGCAATGTTTAATTATCGATTAATATTACTAAATTATTTACTTTCAGGTCAACCTACAGGGAATAAAGCAAAATGACTTCCAGCAGGTATGTGGATTTTTTCTAAAATATGTAAAATAAATCGTGTTGGAACTTGTGTTTTGTTTATTTAAATGTGTAAATTGACAGAACACAAGGTTAGTGCAAACAGTAGGCTGATAGGTCTGTATTTATCAATTGTTTTCAATGATACATACATAATATGATTCCAAATAAATACTTTTACAGTTACTAATATTGTTATTTATTAATACAATTATTTAATTTACATACCTCCTAAAAATTTGTTTTGATGTCTACTAAGCTCAAAGAAAGTGGATCATTACTGTATTCTGCCCACCAAACGTTTTTCCTTGCAAAAGCTGTAAAAAGACCTTTTTCCATAGATAGGTATTTTAAATTAAAAACAATAAATATTATTCTAGAGAAAATATTTTACCTTGGACATTTGACATTTTAACTACCAATTTAAAATAATATCTATAAAAATATGATAAGAGAAGTTCCTACCTACCTAAAGTTTAAACAATGTTTTATAATCATAATGTTTAGGGTTGTTTTTAAAGGTGTAATAAAACATTACATGCCTCTCACAAAAAAATCCTATTTTTGAGACTTTTGGACACTGAATACTTCTTTTTTTAGACTTGATCGCCTTTTTGTGCTGCTTGAGACCGGAAGTTCTTCCGTTACAAGGTCGGCGGCGGCAAAACAGTTGGGAGAGGTGCAAAGACTCCACCCCCATGAGTTAAACACCCTTCTCAGTAGAACAGCTACATACTTAAGGTCGCCCAGCTGGGATACGCGCATAGCTGCAGCTGAAGCTGTCAAAGCTATTGTTAGCAATGTGCCTGAGTGGAATCCAAAGGGAGTGCAAAAAACTGGTAAGAACTTGTTTTGTGAAGAATTTGTTGAAAATTTTGTAGTAAACAACCCTGCACAGGGTCAAGAAAACTTAAGTGATATTTACAGAAAAACAATGTCAATTAATTAAATGTTTATTTATAAATATTTACAAAGTGACCATTTAATTTTATAAGTAAGGTTTGTTGTTTCTTAATAATAATTAGTATTTTTAGATGGTTACAAAATAATCTTATCTATGAAAAAGGAAATCCTGTTTTACAGATAAAATAGTATATTAAAGTACAAGTTGCAGAAGGCCACATATTCTCGCACGAATTCGAAATTTGGCCTCGAGCGACGAAGGAGCGAGTGGACGAACGAATGAGTGCGAGAATATCCTTCTGCAACGTGTGATTTATACTATTTTCTCGATTTTAACTTTTATTTAGGTTTTTTTAATTGTTTTGTGGTCGTTGTTAGTTAGGGGATTTTTCTCGCAAAATGTCAGTTGGCAACACAAAATGACAATATTTGTTATCCTGCACAAGTACAACCTGAACTGCACTTTTTTACATTCAACTTAAAATTTTGCATTAAAATGCATTGTTGGAGCAAACTTAATATTACAAAAACAATAATAAAGGCTTCATTTTCAATAAAAGTAATGAATTTGAGGTTATTAATCAGTTTGACATTTTGGGGGTACCAATACTTAAAAACTAAATGTTACCAAAAATCGTTTAAGAATGAGCTTCATTCTTCAACGATTTTGCGTGCGAGAATATGACATTCTTACATAAAAATCGAGAAAAAAATAATTGGACTTTTATTGTTTCATTTTAATTTTAACTATAATACCTATACCTACTTTGTCAGATATAGTTACTATTATCAAAGAGTTAAAATTTGCTTAAAAAGGACAATGTGAGTTCTATACTTTACGCCCAAAAGTCAATCAAAAGTGAATACAAATAATTGAGGTTTTCTGAAATAAATACAATAAATGTATTTTTTTTTCTAAATTAAGACCAAAACATACATAATAGTTATTTACGTGTCAAGCTTTGTAAATGAATCTTTAGGGGCAAGCTGAAAGTTTGTGACAGGCCAAAAAAATCGACTATTTTTTTTTGTATATCGAAAATATTGTTTGGGGTGACAAAAAAAAAAGTTATTCTAATTTTGAGTCCATAATATTAATATTAAGAGGTCTATAATCGCAATTAAAAAAAATCGTGAGCGAGTTTTTGTCTCAGAACTCCCAAGCCATTGTTGGATGATAATTTGATTTTTTTCTTTATACATGTGTACCTATTATATGACTAATTAACAATTTCCAATAAAAAAACATGATTTAAACGATTAAATACCAGTGAAAATAATATTTTCTAAAGAAAAATTTCGAATGTGTTAACATTTTTTTAAATTTTCAGTTATTTTATTAATAACACAAAGATTATCATCGATAAAAGAATTAATTAAAGAAGTTTTTATCTGACCCAAAAAAAATATACAGCGGAAAAAACAAGAATTTCGTTTTGACTTTAACTTTAACCTTGAAAAACTCTTGATGGAGTGAGTTTAGCCAAAAATGTTAGGAGACTTTTTTTGTAGAGCATTTGAATTCCCATAAGAATATCTATAGGTTTTTTTTCCGGTTACTTATTTTTAAATGAATTACAAAATTCCAAAATAAAAAGATCAAATTGTAAAACTATACCAATTTTTAGGGCTTGATTGTAAGGAAACGGTTCATCTGACAGGAAATTTTATTAGAACCTTTTTTGTAGAGCATTCAATTTAATTCTAAAAAGTCAATTTTGTTAAACTCAATGGCTTGGGAGTTCTGAGAAAAACACTCTCTCAGGAAAAAACAATCTAAAATTGCGATGATAGACATCTTAATATTAATATTATGGACTAAAATTTTCATAATATTTTTTTTTGTCACCCCAAACAATATTTTCGATATACTTTCCAAAATAAAAATAATCGATTTTTTTGGCCCGTCAACATAAATGATTCAGGGCTCCCACACCTCCTAAAATTCATAAAATTCCTAAAATTTGGCTTAAATCTTAAAAACTCCTAAAATTCTCCTAAAATTGCCATCAATCTCCTAAAACTCGTAAAAATTAAATATAAGTAGGCCAACTTGACTGCGTTTAATTAAGGTAGTTGTGCTAAAAAAATTCTTTTTTAAAAAATATATATTTTTGGGTTCTGGTTTATTAATTTTTTTTTAATGATATAGGTATCACAACCTACATTTTTCTTAAAAAACAACAAAATATACCATAAAACAAAATCCATTTAGTAGCTTATAGACTTCTACAAATTTGTAATTTTTAGCCATATTTCGTTAATTTTCGACAAAAATATACCGTGTTATATTTCAAACAAAAGGAATTTTAATTTTCTTTTAAATGATAACTAAAATACTAAACAATCTAAAGAATGTTTTGCTGTATCATGCACTTTATATTTTTTCTATTATGAGATTTTTTTGTAACAATAACATTACAATTATTGTAACAATAACATTACAATTATTGTAACAATAACATTACAATTATTGTTATTATTAACTAAACTGTTAATTTTTTTTTCCAAATTTAAATATAACAATAAAATTAAAAGTGGGGTGAAATTTCTACTTGTAGATATATACAAAAGTAGAAACTTTACCTCACTTTTCATTTTATTAAAAAAAAACTCGTCGAGCGATTTGGCTAAAAAACTAGTCAATATAACCTACCTATTTGTACAAAAGAAGTGATATTTATTTATATTTCTGTTAAAAAGAATTACTTATTTTTTTTTTATTTTTTAAGTATAGTGTAGTTGAGGAGTGATTTTTCAAAAGGCCTTATTTCCATTTTTACTTGAATGTAATTTTTTGACAAAATTCCAAAGGTATGGTTAAAAGGCATATATTTTTTTTAAATAATCTATATTGCCCTAACCTATACAGGTTATAGTCATTTTTTTGAAAAATTGCTGCAACTGGAAATACGACCTTTTGAAAAATCACTCCTCAGTTATTTTTATTTAATTAAATAAAATCATTTGTATACTTTTTTCTCCTAAAATTTTCCAAAAAACCTCCTAAATTCCTAAATAAAATTTGTAATTTAACTGTGGGAGCCCTGATGATGATAGGATTATAAACATTTAAAAATACTAAAATTATTGTAACAATAATTAGACATAATTTATATTGAAAAACAACTTTCAAAAATTAAAATCTAATAATTAAAATAATTATTATAAACTACAAATTAGCACTATTTTAAATAAATTAACGTAAGCATGATTCTATAACCCCACCCCCAAATGATACAACGTAGGTTTTTTAAAACTTAAGAAACTAATTTATTAAGATAAATGTCGGTATTAGTGTATTAATTAAATAAGAAAATTAAGAGTAAAATTAAAGACTCATTTATTCCTAATAAGAAATATGAAAATAAATTTGGTATAACTATAATAAAAAATACCATTATTAATTTAAATTATAAATATGTTTTTTAAAAAAATCTTCATTATTTTGTAATTTTACGTAAGATTTATAATATCCCCACCCACTCTTTGTCAGCAAAAATAAAAAAAAATTGAATCCCCGTCCCCAAGCTTCCTTACGTAACACTGAACGCCCCCTGACGTTAAATACAATTAGTATTTCTAGCAGTGTTGCCACCCCTATTACTTTAGTAATAGATCTGTTACTTTTAGCAAAAATATATTACCCTATTACGAAACGATGTAAATCTATTACTTTTTTCTTTCCTAGTAGGAATTTTTTTAATATTCTATTGTGGTCCTATTGTTGCCACTGGCAACTAGCTAGACATCCCCCAAAAGATTATTGTCGCAGCGCATCAAAACTATTGTAGAATTAAATTTTTCTTGGTTTTTCTAATATAAGTATTTTAAATCTTGTTATACAAGGTGTCCCTAAACTTAGTGGCATAAATTTAAAAGCAGATTTAATCATTAAGCAAGTCAAAATAAGACGAAAATCTAAATAAATATTTTTTCTAATTACGTATGTTTAAAAGATACAGGGTGATAAAGTGTTACTTATCATATCACTTTTTTTAATATAACTTCAACTATGGTAGACTTGGAATGGTGATATTTTGCGAACAGTCACTTACTACCAAAACACATATTCACACTTAATTACAATTGTTCGAGTAAACACAGTGTCATAGAAACAGGGGTTGCTTAAGCTTATTGTCCCATACAAACTTTGAGGTTAGGTTTTTATAGCATTTGATGCAATTTTTCGATTACTCAGTTTGGCTACTATTAAAAAGGTGTACCTCTCAAACTTCGATAAAATAAACCGTTTCCGAGATATTCGAGATTACAATAATTGTTATATCGCATTAAAGGTATATTTTTTAATTGAAAAAACTACATTTTTTTAATGTGACGGTCAGGGAAAAAGTCCCGAGGCTCATGGAATTTTAAGTTTTTTCAATTAAAAAATAAAATTTGTTATCATATACCTTTTAATCCTTTTATTTAATGCGATATAACAATTATTGTAATCTCGAATATCTCGGAAACGGTTTATTTTATGGAGGTACACCTTTTTAATGGTAGCCAAACTGAGTAATCGAAAAATTGCATCAAATGTTATAAAAACCTAACCTCAAAGTTTGTATGGGACAATAAGCTTAAAGCAACCCCCGTTTCTACGACACTGTGTACACTCAAACAATTATAATTATGTGTGAATATGTGTTTTGGTAGTAAGTGACTGTTCGCAAAATATCACCTTTCCAAGATTACCATAGTAGAGGTTATATTAAAAAAACTGATATGATAAGTAACACTTTATCACCCTGTATCTTGGAAACATAAGTAATTAGGAAAAATATTTATTTGGGTTTTCGTCTTATTTTGACTTGCTCAATCTTTCCCTAAATTTATGCCAATAAGGTTAGGGACACCTTGTATATTTTAAATTTATTATTAAAAAAAATAAAAAATAAGGAGTTAATTAAAATAAACTTATTTTTTATCCAAAATTTAAGATTTTGTTAATATTCGGTTGTTTTATTCCCTTGTGCAATTTGATTTACATGAAATTATTGTACATTTTAATTTTATCTTACATGTGATTTCGTACATTGTTCGTACGTCTGGCAACACTGCTTGAGTGTATGACATTTCTTGTGTGCTTAAATTTGTGTTCATAAAGCTCTTATTAAAATAGCATATGCATCATGTAAAAATTCAATTTTTTTCTAATGACAAGGCGGCCATTTCAAGCGCGCGAAACGAACGAATTACAAAACTGTTTTTATATAAAAAATTGTAGATTATTTATTATATAATATTTTGGCATCAAAATTGTCAAAAATATTCTTCTTTTGTTAGGTTATACATTAAATAAAAAAAAACTCAAGAAATATTTTATGAAAGTAGATATAATTTTAATAATTGAAAGAACGGGACAAAAAAATATTTATCTTGTCCCGTCCATCCCTGTCAATTATTGAAATTATCTCTACTTTTATAAAATATTTCTTGCGATTTTTTTATCTAATGTATACCCTAATAATAGAAGAATATATACAATTTTTTTTATAAAAACAGTTTTGTGATTTGTCCCGTCCATCCGCTTGAAATGGCCGAAGGGTAAAACGTCAAAAAATTAAAAAAATTTGATCCAAAATAGTCTTTTACCTTAAATCCCAAATCTATTACATTTTGACGCATGCGTCTATTACGAAAAAAAAGTTATAGGTGGCAACACTGATTTCTAGTTTAATTAGAAATCCCACTTGTATACTTTATTCTTATTATTTTTTAATTAATAAAATTACTTTAATTGGTAGCGGGAAATAACAAACACGATTACCGCATGAAATTTAATCAAGTCGGAATTGAATTCGCTTTTACCGTGGAAAACAATTTATAACGAAAAAATAGTTTTGATTTCTATTGCCGTTGTTAATATGATTAATGCACCATTAACGTTTTTGATAAAAACGGCGATAATTTTATAATTTTACACCAACGGCTGTTATCTGAATACATAAAATGTATTTATTTGTTTTCTATTTTAGAAGAGGATGGTCAATGCCCCTCCTTATCGTCCGTGGGTCGATTACGTTTCGATCAATTCGATATGTCTAAGGTTTTAACCAACAGCACCCACCTAATGGCCTCTGAAGGCAAGGAGTTTGACTTGGAGGAGGACTCTTCGTTGGGTGTGGATGTAAAGGAGAAAATGGCAAAGCAGAGGCAACTTTTAAATGCCAGGTTGGGTCTCGATGTAGCCGCTAATTTGGGTTTTGATACCTCCGGACTTTTTACTAACGAAGATTTGGTCGGGGGAATTCAAGAAGGGGCGGAAAAAAATTATGTTAGGGTGAGATTTGATGTTAATAAAATACACAATTTAGGTTTTATTTGTACTTTTTTTTGTGTTTAGAAACCTGTAAGTGATGTTATATCAAGGCCAAGTGAGGCATTAAGCTCACGGGAGATGAATAGGGCCAGAAGAAAGGCCAGAATGGCCATAAGCAAGCAAAGATCCCGCGATGTGGGCGATGATTGTAATGGGGATGAGCCTGAAAAGAAAAAAATTAAGACTGAAGTCAAGGAGGAGTACATAATACAATATGGTAAGGACGTGATTTCCTATTTCCTAATTTAAAAGATAATAAAAACTCCTACTATTTTTTCTCTCCAGGGATTCTAATAATTTAAAAACTAACATTTGATACAAGGGTATTTTTTGTTGGTTTTGAAGAATATGATTTTCTGCAATTATCTACATTGGAGAAAGTTACTTTTATATCTAGACCACTCTTTTATTTAGGTACTATTTGGCAAGAAGTGAACTTTTTAAATATTACTGTGCTTACCTATTTTTTTTTAATTAAACAAGATTTTTATGCTGCAGCAACAGTTTTGATATTATTTTAGTTTGATGTCAAAAAACGGTTTCTTTTAAATAAAAAAAAACAAAAAAACTTATTTTGTCAATTTTCAAAACAATAATTCAAAATATAGTATCAATAATTAACATTGATATATTAGAAAATAAAGTATTTTAGGGGGTATCATTTGCTTTTAAAACTAGATCCTATATGGACAAAGTGAAATATAAAATACAGTTTATGTTCCATAATTGAAAATTTTAACTGAAAATAAAAAATTTCATATCTTATTATTTGGTGTTTCAGCATAAGAAAATCATGCATTGAATAATTTGATTAAAATTCTCTATTTGTTTTTTATTAAGTAATTTGTATTTTTCGTGAAATAAATGCGCGAATTTTTAAGTAAAATATTCAGAATATTTAACCGGTAAAATTCTATTATCAAATAAACAAAATGTAAAAAAATCATTTGAAAAAAAACGGCGAAGGAGAAAAAAAATTGATATTTGTTTTTTATGTAACATCTTTGTTATAACATCTATAGATGGTTTTTATTTTGATTCTTTTTAAAAAACAACTTTATTTTCTTGTGATGGTTTTCTTGACTAAATTTAACTTTTATTTCTCTTGTCCTGTGCACAACTGTCCATTATTAAAATTATCTCTATTTTTATAAAATTTTGCTTGCGTTTTTTTATGTAATATATAGCCTAATGAAATAAAGATACACCTTGTAAATGTCGCTCCAAGTAACCGTTTTCGAGATATGTTGAACATTAACTAAATTTGTAGTCTCTTAAACATTTCTTAAATCGTAACCTACTTTTAAAAATGTTACATTTTCAAATCACAATTAAATGGGTGCACTGAACAATTTAAATGCAAATTTCTCGAAAACAGTTACTCGCAGCGACATTTAAAGAGTATACCTTTTTCATGTAATAAAGATAAAAAAGTAATATTTTTATTAAAAACGTGAATACACTAAGGCGCAAAAAATATGACCATTTAAACGTAATTGAAATGGCGCCGACAGCGCCCCCTACAACCTACAATTTCATGGCCTGAAAAACCCCAAAAAATCAAATTTAGTGCAAAAACGTTTGTTTTTTTCACACGAACTTCCAACTTTAACACCGTGTATCTTGGGTGTCAACTTTTGTATGAAAGCCGTAGCGTAAATACAAGGGCGCCTAGAGGTTGACCTGGAGATAATTTTTTTCACACATCGTTTTGCGTCTAAACTTATTTGGAAAAAGGTTGTCCGTAAATCTGATTTTCTAAATCACCTTTTTATATAGGATGGACCAAGTATTTAAAGAGCTAAAGGGTTGCTTAAATTTGAGAAAAGTTGCATAATTATAAGTCTATTAAAATGGCATTTCAAAATTGAAAAAAAATCTGTGGTTAATAATACACATTTATCTACACTTTCATTCAATGTGTGAATTTTTTTGAGCACTAGATTTGGAGTTACCACCATTATCTTGCTTTTCCTATGACCGCCATATTGGAATTTTAAAAAAATCAAGGAATTCAATTATGTATCAAAAGACATAAGTTATGGCGGCCATTAGAAAAACAAAAGATGGTAATAATAATAATAATGTCTTTATTGAGTGTAAAAAAATATAAACCAAACAATGGTACATAACTCAAAATACAGGAGCAAAGAAACTGGATGATGCTTGCATATAAAACTTACTTTTTTTCTTAAAAATTCCCATGAATAACAAAGTTATAACGATTTTTGGTTTTGAAAGGAATTTTGTTTTTTTTTAAATTTTTTTGAGAACCTTGTAGCTCTTTAAATACAAAAGTACCTATACACATACAAGGATACTTGGTGCAACCTGTATAGGCGCTATAAAAAATTCGCGAGGGGGCACACTTGCTTAGTTACGCCACTGTATGGAAGTAAATTTAGTTATATCGCATTATTTTGGTCTTAGGAATGTGTGGTATCATTTTGTACAGGCACACCTTGTAAAATATTAAATTTATGGATTATCTTAAAAATTAAACAATAGACAATGAAACTGCAAAGTAACTAAGTGCCTACCCTTTTTTTCCTCATAATTCCTCAGATTTATAATTTCTCAGAAAAATTCGCAAAAGTTTTGTTGTTTATGATATTTTATTGTAGATTTGGAGGCTGGAGATGCCGGCGATTGGCCTTTAGAATGGTTTTGCGACCAATTAAGCCAAGATTTGTTCAGCACTTCTTGGGAGGCTAGACATGGTGCTGGAACCGCCATAAGAGAGGTTTTGGCAGTACACGGAAAAGGCGCTGGAAGGGCCACATATTTGGAAGAAACTCAAGTAGGAGCAATATTAAAATTACTATTAACGAGATTTTTATGCCCTAATTTCTAGATGGAGGCTTACCATCAAATATGGCTGGAAGATATGTCCATACGACTGCTTTGCGTTCTGGCCCTGGACAGATTTGGGGATTTTGTGTCCGACGCGGTGGTAGCGCCGGTTCGAGAAACATGCGCGCAAGCCCTATGCGCAGTTCTAAAACTGATGACGCCGCAATCCTGCTACGGAGTCCTAAAAATCCTCCTGCAATTGTTGGACCACCAAGAGTGGGAGGCCCGTCACGGAGGTCTGCTAGGTTTAAAGTACCTCCTAGCTGTGCGGGAGGATTTGATCGACACCCTCCTCCCGGAAGCGTTCCCCTTCATCCTGCAAGGCCTGTCGGATAATTTCGACGACGTTAGCGCCGTAGCTGCGTCCGCGCTGATACCGGTAGCGGAAAAATTAACCGTACTAGTCCCTCATAGCGTCCCGCAAGTCATAAACAAGCTGTGGGATCTTTTAAGCGAGCAAGACGAGCTAGCCGCGGCCTGCAACAGCTTCATGGGGCTGCTGGCTTCGATATTAAGTTTGCCCGAAGTTCAAAAAATCATCCCGCCGCAGCCGCTGCAAGAAGTGGTGCCGAGGTTGTGGCCGTTCCTCAGCCACGGCACCTCGTCCGTGCGCAAAGCCACGCTGCAAACGCTGAGCACGCTGACGGAGAAACCGGCGGACAGCGGCGACATCATGTGGGGCGCGCTGTTGCTGCAGGACGCTCTGAGGCACGTGTACCAGCGGGTGCTGGTGGAGCCCAACGGCGACGTCAGGAACTACGCGGAGAAGGTGTGGCGACAGCTGGTCAACAACTCGAATTTAGTCGAGCTGCTGCACGCCGCGTGTCCCTTCATAACGATTTGGCTGTTGCTGGGCATGCAGTCCAACAGGTCGCCCTTCGACCCGAACTTTTTGATTTACGCCAGATCGCAGAGGAAGAAGAACAGTTCGGACGGGTTGCAGAGCTTTGATCACACTGTGGTGCCCCCAAAACTTTATATTGGAGGTAAGTTAACAAAACAATGTTTTTTTAATTCCAAATGTATATTATAAAGAGACGGGATTTAAACAATAAAAAATGGCTTTTTTGCTTAACTACCATTTATTGCAGATATGGCGTTTTGTCTTAGAACGACAGTTTTTGGTAGTTAAGAAAAAACGTCATTCTTTATGGTTTTTAAAAATTAAAATGTTCTTCTGTCCTTTATTACCAGATATTGCAGATACGTTCTTTTCGCTTACCACGGAAGTATTGGTTTCTTATGTGAAAACTGCCAAACGAGGGGTAAACCGCTAAGTAAAAAGCTGTACACCATTTCCCATTTTCATTGTAGTACCCAGTATTTCCTGAGTAATACAATAAAATTACCCGGGATTACCTTGCATTACCCCTGTAATACCAGTATTACCTGACCATTACCTGTAAAATACTAGTATTTCCCGTATTACCCTTTAATTTTTATTTCTTTTTTAAAATTTCCCTCTTAGCAAATGCTTAGAATAGCCTAAAATGTCAAGATTTAATAAAATTTCCACATGTCCAATTATTCTAATTACCATAGCTTTTATACCCATGTATTACGTTACGCAGTTTTTCGAAATTTTTGACCCCCCCTTCCCCTTAGATAGTTACGTAATACTTGAACGCTCCCCCTGCTATGAAGCTAGAGGTAGATTTCGATAAAATTAAGAGGAAAAAAAGTAAAGTAAATGAAAAGGCGAGTGTAAAGGAAAAAAGAAAACCATGGAAAAAAAAGTTTATTAAAAAACAAATGAAAAATTGACAAAAAAATTTATAGTTTTTTAGTTATTTTATATTTTTGTTTTATTTGAAGCACATCAGCTCGTTTTAATTGAAATGGACCATTTCCCAACAATTGCAATTCTGTTAAATAAGCAGGGACAAGCTTCACATTTTTTGGCTGCCTTGTTTTACTAATATTAAAAGCTACCTATTCTCTAAAAAATCTTTAAACTCGATATCTTTTTACTTGATATGGATATGATGATGATATAAAGAAATCAGCTTTGAGTAAAATTAAAAGTAGTAAAGTGTGTATGTATGTTTATCAAGTAAATTTACGTGGTAGAAGTTCTACCCACTGTTCTACCGTAGAACAGTAGGTATTCTTTTGAATATTCTTCAGGGTTGGCTGCCCAGTGGGTAAATCAAAAAAAACCCAGTGGGTTTTTTTGGTAAAACCCATTTAAAAAGGCCCGCAGGGTTTTTAAAAAATGTTTTTTTCTTAAACTTCAACTCCTGGTGGTAAACATTTTATATTTTTTATATTTGTGTATACTTTTTTTTGTTAAAAGATAAAACAACACATTAAAATATAGTTTAATGTTTTATTTTTTAAAATAGTATTTAATCAAAAGCAGTACACTCTAAAACTGCTTTTATATATTAGAATACAAAGAATACAAAACGTAATTTATTATTTATGCATTTTATAACGAACGACGAACGACTGCGAAAATAAGTCGTTAAGGATAATGTAGTTAATATATTTGATTTTTTGTTGTTATTCACTAAAATCCGTATAGAATTAAAAAACCCAAAAAAGCCCAATGGGTTGAGATTTATTTAAAAAACCCGGGTTTTTTCCAACCCTGATATTCCTTTACTATAGAATTTCTTAAAAATGTGAAACCTACAATTAGTTGCTACTTTTTTAAAAACTGGTTTTATATTTGCCTAGATATTAGTCTACTAACAATATTATTACAGCCTACATTATATTGATGGTTATAGAACTTACCTTTTTATAAAAAGGTAAGTTCTATAACCATCAATATAATGTAGGCTGTAATAATATTGTTAGTAGAGAAATATATTTATCTGCATATGTACTCGTAGGTATTAAAAAATTACACACGAGATTACACATTATCTAGACTACGGGGTAGACTAAAAAAGTAAGGTTATCGTTGCCATGGAAACGCTTTGGGAAACGCCTTGAGAAACGCTATCTATACGCTTAATTTGTATTTACTCAGTATTACCCTTAACTTAACTTGCCTCTGTATTTCCCTCGTATTACCTCCGTATTTCCCTTGTATTACCTTAGTATTTCACGTATTACCCCTATATTGCCTGCATTATAAAGTATTACCCAGTATTTTCTGTATATTACCCTGTACTACCCCGTATTTCCTTAGTATTACCTTAAGCCTGTACACCAAATTACCTCAGCGGTTTACCCCTCGCTGCCAAACAATAAGAAATCAGATTTTTTAGTCTTATCATTTTGAAAAATTACTTCATTTTTAAGATTGATATTATTTATTCACAGAATATGTTTTATTGTAGCGGATTTAAAAAAAACAAAAAAAAACGGTTTTTTTCTAGTTCTTTTTTCATGTTTTTTTTTCACATCTGAAAAAAAATCCGTGCAATGGAATAAAATCCGTTTTGAAGAAAATGACTTCATTTTAGCCTGATTTTAGTTATTTTTTCATGTTTTTTTTCACATCTGAAAAAAAACCGTTTTTTTACATCTCTAGGTGCAATGGAATAAAATCCGTTTTGAAGAAAATGATTTCATTTTAGCCTGATTTTCATTTTCAAGAGAAATGGACCTAATTTTTACATTTTACTACCTGAACTAGTGTAATTTTACCTAATTCACCTAAATTCTTATTTTTAACAGAAATTAACTAAATTTTCAAATTTTACCATCAAAAAACATGCTTTTTTGTAATATTGGGGTTTTATTCAGATGACATAACCCGCAACTAAAAACATTTCTATCATAATGAATGTGAATTTGTTATTTTCCGGAATTGTATGCTTATTAACAAAAACATTTTTAAAATGCCGCCGCATTCAAAAACTATAAAATTTATGATGGTAGATACCTATTGTAATATTTTTACAAGATATTTTCGCCAGTCATTTTTAAATTTTTCAAATCATAAAAATCTTCTTCAATACAATTTTATACAATATTAAATTTAATTATTTTACCACCTAAAAGTTGCTTTCCAATACTTATTTTCGTAAAGTGCGTACCAAATTTAAAACCTAAAACAAGAAAAAACTTGACCTATTTAGTTACCTATTTTTATATATTTTGCAACCTAAAATTCCATCTCTAATTATAATATACATTTTGTATATTAGATAATTATCCATTAGAAATTCGTTAAATGAAAGAATGAGAAAAGCGACCCAAAAGTGCTGCAAATTTGTTATTAATGTCCAAAAGGCTGAGATGTGTCTTTTTGTGCTGAGCTCAAAGTTTGAATGCCGATGCCTAGAGGCCGCCTAAAATTGAACAAAGCAATAAAAGATACTTCTCAGCTGCATGGCATACAACATTTTAATTTCAAGGCATAATTTTATTTGTTTAATAATACATAAAACGTACAATTGAGGAGCATCCGTTCAAAACCGGCTATATCCACTTTAATAAAATGTTGGGAAAATGGCAAAAACTCTCGGTTTCCTGGCCTTTACAGATAAAAGAAAAAGCAAACTTGAGTTTTGTGGGCTTTGTGGTACTTGATTTATAAGACATACTTTCGTTTTCAAAAACTTTATATTAAGGCCAAAATTTCAAAAAATGTTTTGTATATAGCGCCGGTTTAGCTCAAAAACTGAATAAAAAACGACTAAAATGTGAAAAAAAACCTTTATTATTTAAAAATATTACCAAAATAAATTTAGTGCAAACATGAAAAAACAGAACAAATTTTAGTAGTAGTATTGACATATCCAAGCCACCTGCTCATCATCATTATTATTTGTTGGATATAGCCGGGTTTGATATAAAAACGTGGATTTGGCCGGTTTTGCTCCTAAAGCTACTATTTAAATGGGATTGTAACATGGATATAGTCGGATTTAAACAGAATTATCTTGGTTGTCGATGGAAATGAACCCAAAGATGCGAAATTAAAAAACAAAAACAAAACTGAATAAAATGGATTTAGCCGGTTTTTAGCCTCAATTATAATAATAATTATTATTAAAAGTAGAAAGTGAGGTTAGATTAGATCTGACACTAGTCAATTTTTTTTATTTGTCCAAACGGGTTTTTTACAAACTAGGAAATAAAAAAACTTTACCCAATTGTTCTATGCCACCAAGTGGCAGCCACTTTTGCATTTTAGGATGCAAAAGAATTTTTAAATTAAGTATCAGAACATTTTTTCGAAAACTACTACCACAAAAATCTATATAGTCACGGCCAAATCTGTATGGGTGCACGTCATCAACGGCATATGAGGTCAGCGTTAAGGTCTATTCATACGTGCCAAGACACAATCTAACGCTCGTGTATTGTTGACTGTTTATAGCGGTGGGGGCTGTTATTAAGATGGAATTATAACGTCCTTGTTATAATCTTCTGCACTAACTAATTAGGAGTTTGTTACAGGCAAATTTTTATTAAATGTGTTTAAAGAGAAAACAAACGGAGTTTATTACATTTTTATTACATATGCACATAAAAAAAAATACTAAATTATCAGAAACACAAAAATAATAAATTACCAGTCGTCCTTGTCATCAGAGCAAACCAGGTCAGAATTGAAGTCTGATTATTTCCCCAAATTTATTATTAAGGGCGCAATCTCTTCGAAATCTAATAACGGCTAGTTGCCAACAAGCCTTCTATCATTGTTTGCACAATCCAGGGATAGAATCTTATAAACATAATGTATATTATTATTTATAATAATTTGCAACAAACGATGCTTCCGGACGAAATGTCACAATTACAAAAATACGTCAAATATAAAATGAAAGCGACCCATCAATAATATTAAACGGTGCGCGCCAGCCCTTAAGCTATTACTATACAAAAATTACTAAGTGAATGGTTTTATTTTGATAATTTTGTGAAAAAACGTTTTAAAACAAGGAAATTGTTACAGTTCTTGATAAACAATACGCAAATGAATGATTTCTTTTTAATAACACATCAGAATTACGCCTTAAAAAAGCAAATTTAACGGCAGTAACTTTACAATTCAAAGTTGGTAATGCTGACGTCATTATATTTCATTGATGACGTGCACCCATATAGATTTGGCCGTGACTATATAGTTTAATTATTTCCAACAACTCAATTAAACAGATGAGATAATTTATCTTAGACTATTCCACTCATTACTTTTTGGACCAATCAGATTTCAGAAAACGAGTGGTTTTTTCAGTTTTGCAGCGATAAAACTACTATTCAGGTGAAAATTCCACACCTGTAATTTTTAACCAATCAAAACGTGTATTTTTCATAGATCACCATGGCAACGGTTGAATTTAAGTGGAAATTTTTTCCTCGTGGGTACCCAACAGCGAATTATACTGGAAATTTTTTGACGTTTATAATGACAGAATATTTTTTTGACAATCTGGTTTTTATTTGTTTACATGATAATTTTGATACATTTCCATTACAAAGTTTAGATGTTTTCTATATTCGTTGGACACCTCCTTTCTTCTTAATGGCGAAATTGCAGGACTTGAAATAAATTAAATGTCTATGTCTAATGAAATATATATAATATTTAGACACTATTCTATTCACCTTTTTTTCCATTTAGCACTTTGAGTTTTGAATAGTTAAGATGCAAATATTCGTGAACAATTCAAAACAAATTTTCTTTCTTCAAGTAGGAGCCACAATCCTCTAATAATGCGGGTAAATAAGTCATTGCACGATGATTGATCATTACAGCAGACAATTTCACATTTTTTTACGTCGGGCCGCTTGACAGCTTCAAAACTGAAATAACTGCCATGGTAACTAAATAATCAAGTCGAGGTCAAGTTAAATCAAAAAATAAATTTTAATTATTTAAACACAATTTGGTGTGGAATTTTCTTACCGAATACCACACGAGGTCAAATTAAATCCGGGAATTTTTTCTCCCTCATGAATATTTTTAGAAAATTATCCCTCGTCTTCGACTCGGGATAATTTTCAAAATATTCATGAGCTCGAAAAAATTTCCGGAAATAATTTGACCTCTAGTGGTATTACTAGTGAAAAAACCACTCGTTTATACGAGTTGCATAACAACCAATTGGTTGCTATGATAAAAATAATTGTCACTGTTGACGTTTTTAATTTTAAAATTAAAATGTTAAAAAATATGCGTTTTGGTCCAAAAAATCATACAGAAATTGAATCAGCAGTTAAAAATATTCGTGAAATAGTCTTGCCGAATACCACTCGTGATAAAATTTTCCCTGAAAAAATTTTTGATAATTATTTACTCAAGATTTTTCCTTGGAAATTTCGCTCGTGGCATTAACTTCAAACCACTCGCCTAGCGGCTCGTGGTCTTAAAAATTAATGCCACTTGCGAAATTTCCAAGAAAAAAACATTCGTATAAAAATCAAAAATTTTATCGGTAAAATTTTACCACTAGTGGTATTATATACGATAAAACAAATATCACAGAACATAAATATCATGTTATGTATTATTCTTTAGTAATGCCACCAGATGGCGCGCGAGTTGCGAAACCTTTAGCGAATAACGATTTTTTTTATTATTATTCTGTGCCCATGTTTAAAACAGGCTAATTTAGGATCGTTTGAAATTTTTGAAATTTTTGGGACATTTTATTGAAAATTGGTACATATCTCATGTTGACTTTGGTACAATGTTATAAATGCTTCTGGCAACACTGCACTTAAGAGGTCCAAAAGACCGAAGCAGTCCGACTGTCTGTTGCGGAGCACATCTGGAACAAAGCACAGGGACGAGGTTTCTATAAATTTTCTTTCTTTTAGGTAGCGAGACTACGCCACTGACCGTAAGAGAAAGCAACGCGGTTCAGGTCCGGTGCATGACTTCGCGCATGCTGGGCCTCCTGTCCTGCCAAATAATAAAACCCGCGCCCGGCATCGATTACAGCCCGGGCATCGAAAAGCCCATAGAATGCTACGAAAAAGTCCTGTTGGTCCACCTGAATTCGAAATCGGCGCTGCAACGGACGATGACCGGGCTCGTGATCGCCGAATGGGCTCGCCAGGACCCCGAACCGAAAGAATGCCCGATCAATTTGAAGAACCGTTTGAATCAATGCCTGAACGAGTGCGTCTATTTCGACGAAATAGCCGTCAGCTTCACCAGATTGGCGCAGGAAACGAGGGATTTCGTCGCCACCATGAAGCACTACAAGGTCCCCATAACGATCGAGAACGATAGCGTGCTGACTCTTCAGAACATACAGGAATTGACGGGTACGAACACGCAGAACACTCTAGTCAAATTCAAACTGAAAGCCAAAGTACTAGACAGCCTGGAGGATAGAAGAAAAAGCATACAGAACAGCGTTTCGCAAACCAGTAGCGATCAGTTGCGATTGAGTATTTGCACCCTGGCGGCGCTATCAGGGGCCGTTGTCATGTTCAAATGTCTCCCCGAGAAACTCACCCCCATGGTAAAACCCCTAATGGACTCCGTACGCAGGGAAACGGACGAGAATCTGCAAAAATTAACCGCCAAACATCTGGCGTTTCTACTCGATCAGTGCAGGGGTAGAAATCCCTGCCCCAACGACAAAATCATCGGGAACCTTTGCACCTTTTTAAGATGCGATCCGGAATTTACCCCTGTGGTCCACAAAACGGCGCAGGGTAACAACAGTCAAGCAACGTCAAAACCGAAAACAAGCAATTACGTAGGGGTGGTAACCCTCATCAACCAGCAGCGTATCGCGGAGAAAGCCGCTTTCAAGCGATCGAATAGCACCGGTAGGGGGCCGGGTAGACCACCTGCTACCGATATACCGTTGGAGGAGTTGTTCCGCGAAGAAGACGAGGCCCAAAAATTGAACCGAATCCAGCGGAGGGGCTGCACGTTGGCTCTAACGGAAATAACCGAGTATTTCGGCGCCGATTTGCCCCGAAACATTCCCAAACTGTGGGAGATCATGGTCGGACAACTGGTTGAAGGTGTAAAGCTGGGAAATTTCGATCCCAGAGAGCTGCACGATAAGGATGCCGATGCCGAAGCGTTGGTTTGGTCCTTGCAGGTGCTCGAAGTCGTCAGCACTAGTTTGCACGAAAGTCTCTTGCCCGATATTATGGAGAAAATGTTGATTAGGCTTTGCATGCTGTTGTCTCATCCTTACAGCGCCGTCAGGCATCTTACGGCGAGATGTTTGGCAAGTTTTTCTAAATTGGATTCTGTGAAGGTTATGGAATTCGTCGTCACTCAAGTACTGCCTAAATTGGGAGCCACAGACTCGGAAATCGGTAAGTTCAAACTATTTTTGTAAGAGCTAAAACTATTGAAATACAAATTATTTTTAATTTTACAATACAATTTTAATCAAATGGTGCGAAATTGACACTGAATGGTCATTTTATCAAATTTCAAAATTGGATAGACCTTGAAACTTTTTGATTGAAGTATTATTTACTCACAAGATATGTATCAAAAAGTGTTGCCATTTTTATGTTTAATTTATTTTTAATAAAATCGCCATTTTTACTGGGTTCATCCATTTGCATTTATTCTAAATAAGTTAGTTGTCTTTTTTCTAAAATATTCTTAGAACATATTTACACTTATAAAATTTGTTTAGTTTTTTTTTAGTTTAGTTGAAGTCTCGGTTGAAGTTTAACAATGTTCAGTTGCTCTTCCCAATGAATTACCTATAATAATATTTTCAAAAAACTTTTTAATTATTTATAATTTTTTTCTTCTGATTTTCGTGTTCCTTGTTTCGTGATACCGACTGTCAGTGTAGGAATGACCATTTTTTTCTTTTGGGAATAAAAAAATAAAAAGGCAAAGTTCATTTTATAAAATATGTATACTTAGTATAGTTTTATTTAATATACAAGTATAATTTTGCACGAGCAGACCTTGTGGAGTTTATTAAACGAATCTATCTACGACAAACGCAAATTAATTCTAAACTGGTTGTACTCACAACTTGGTCTATTTTTATTCTTATTGCATTTTAAAGGTAAACAATTTAAAAAAAAAACGTGCAGAAATGTTTTAATCTTATTGCATTTTAAAGGTAAACAATTTTGAAAAAAACGTGCAAAAGCAAATATAACTTTTAAGAATTTAAGCTAGATGCAACTGTCCAAAGAATTTTAACTTTTTATTAGGACACATTTGATAACTATGATTCTTAAGTATTTTTAATATTTGTAATTTGTTTATTTAAAATTAACTGTCTTAAGAAATAAATTTAAGTCGAGATTTTGGCTAATATATTTTTCTTAGGATTGTCAACTGAACCTAAACTGTTTAAAAAATGTCATCTTAGGGTAGATAATTTTCTTAAAATATCAACTTAAGTTAAACCTAACTGTCTTTTAACTCAAATAAAATTCATCACCATAATTTACATAATAACATAACAGTGTATACGTTTTCTAATAATAATTCATATACCATAAGATGGTTGAATTGTGCTTTTCTCCAAAATTAAAAAAGTTTTAAAACATAATTGAATTAGGTAAATTTAAAAAATTTTATACAAAAACACAAAAAATAATTTACAAAGAAGAAAAAATAAAACAAAATAAATAAAAAAAAGTTTATAAAAAAAACAACAAGAATCAAAAGGAGATCTCAAATAAATTTCATAAGGTAACATGGATATACGAGGTGTGTTCAGAAAATAACGGGAATTGTTAAATTTCGCGGGTTCGGAGGGTACGGTTGTCATAAAATTTTCTTTATTATGTTGGTATACAAAACTTTATTATTTATTTTTTATTTCATTATTTACTTTGTCTGTGGTAGCCGCTAAGGTTAGACGTGTTTTATGAGCTCGGCGATTTTTCGTTCGTTAAAAGAAATGGATCAAAAAATTTGTATCCAATTTTGCTTAAAAAATGAAATAAATTCTGTGAAATGTAAACAAAGGCCTATAGTGAGTCTGCTATAAGTAAAACAAGAGTTTACAAGTGGTATAAGAGTTTCCAAGATGGCTGTGAAGACGTTGAAGATGACGAACGCCCCGAACGCACAAGCACATTAACAACCGATAAAAACATGGAAAAAGTGGAAGAAATGGTTATAAACCATCAGAGAAGTCGCTGTGATGTTGGTATATCGATTGTCTCATCCTATGAAATTTTTTCGAATGTTTTGGGTATGAAACGCGTGGCAGCAAAATTTGTTCTAAAATTGTTAAATTTTGAACAAAATTTTTGGCCAAAACAATACTGTAATGATGCCTTAGCCTCCATATTCGCCAGACATACCTCTGTCAGACTTTTTCCTATTCCAAAAAATAAAGAGAACCTTAAAGGGCCGTCGTTTTGCAAGCATAGATGACATTAAAAGGGCATCGCTGAAAGAAATAAAGGATATCCCAAAGATCGAGTTTTAGAAGTGTTTCGAGTATTGGAAGAAGAGCTGACACATGTGCATAATATCCAATGGGGACTATTTTTGAAGGCGACAACATTAATGTAGACGAATAAATAAATATTTTTTCCAAAAACGAAGTTTTAGAAGTGTTTCGAGTATTGGAAGAAGAGCTGACACATGTGCATAATATCCAATGGGGACTATTTTTGAAGGCGACAACATTAATGTAGACGAATAAATAAATATTTTTTCCAAAAACGAAAATTCCCGATATTTTCTGAACACACCTCGTAGGATCATGTGTAGAAAGAAAAAAAGTGTCTTAAGAAATGTCAATGCATTGTTAAAATAAAAAGTGTAGTAAAAATAATAATAAAAATGGGAATAATTTTTGCTCTTTTTTGTTGGAGTAAAAAATGGCCGATTTATAATGTTACAAACGCGATAAATCCAATTATTCGATTAAAGTTTTGGTATTTTTTCATTGAAAGCTTAGACCTAGAACAAAAAATAAGAAGGCTAGGATTTTTTTTCCAATTTCAGATCGTCAAGGGGCTGTAGAAGCAATCGCGTGCATAGTAGACGCCCTGCAGTTCGACATAATCCCCTTCGTCGTACTTCTAGTCGTACCGTTGCTGGGCAGGATGTCGGACCAAAACAAATCCGTCAGGCTGATGAGCACGCACAGCTTCGCCACGCTGGTGCAGCTGATGCCGCTGGACGGCGGCGTGCCCGAACCTCCGGCCCTGCAGGGCAGCGCGCTGAACGCGCGTCGCGACAAGGAGCGCGAGTTCCTGCAGCAGCTGCTGTCGCCCGCCGCCATCCCCGACTACGGCGTTCCGGTGCCGATAGCGGCCGAGCTGCGCACCTACCAGCAGGCGGGCGTCAACTGGCTGGCGTTCTTGAACAGGTACAAGCTGCACGGCATCCTGTGCGACGACATGGGCTTGGGAAAAACGCTGCAGAGCATTTGCATACTGGCTGGCGATCAGTATTACAGGGATCAGAGGTTTAGGGAGACCAGAGCGCCGGATTGCGCGCCGTTGCCGTCTTTGGTCGTGTGTCCGCCAACTTTGACAGGTAAAAATTACTTGCGTCTGGTCTAGGGTTTTAAAATTTCCGGAAAAATTGAGCCGGCGGAAAAAACCGTTTTTTTTTTGCGGAAAAACGAAAAAATTGGGAAATCTTCAGAAAAATTGCCTTTTTAATTTTTCCCAAAATTTCCAAATTTTTCCGGATAATATCCGTACACTGATATCAAGAAAAATTAATTTCCGACGCTGATTATAATCATAATATTATGATGGTAATAATAATTATTATTACATTTATTTTAATTTAGTAAGAATATTATACCGTGCCGCAAAAAAAACATATTCAGTGCAGTATTGACATACTTTTTATTTAACACTTTAACACAAAAAAATCCCCAACCCACAGTATATTTCACGTTTACGTTTATTTTCTTAAATCAATTTAATTTCATTCAATTTTATTTTTTTTTTGTAATAAAGGATTTTTTTTTATTATAATTATGTTGAGTTGTTGATTGCTACTTTTTTGTCAATGTATATATTTTCCAAAAAAATTCTATTTTTCCCAAAAAAGTCAATATTTCCAATGCCTGGAAAAAAAAGGAAAAACAGTTTTCCCCCAATTTGTCGTTTTTTTTCGACACTTTAAAACCCTGGTCGCAATTAATACGCTAGTTTCAAAAAGTGGTAAAAAATGGTTTATTTTTCACCAGTTTCAAAAATATTTGACATTTGCTCAGAAAGTTCTACGCGAAAATGTATAATTATAATTTTAACCCAGTGCCCTAAATAACAAAAAGTTAAACATTAAAGTTATAAACGTATTATATTGTAAATAATAACTTATTTACAATACAATACATTTAAAAATGTATTAAAATGTTTAACTTTATATTCCATCAAAATACGCACAGTAGAATAAATTTAAAAAATGGGGTCAATATAAAATAAAGTCGGATTCATATGGATGCGAAATGCGAATTTTGGAATACGAATATTTGCATTTCGCAACTCCTATTTCATATAGATGCGAACTATTTTTTTCTCACTAGGCGATATTTTCCGTTATTTTAGGTACTAAAATAGTAAAGTTACTCTAAAGGTAAAATAAAAAATATTAATATACCTCAAAAAACTCTTTGTCGATTATAAAAAACAAAACAAAAACTTCAAACCCTTAACTCAACAAAACAAACACTACGATACAAACGAAATAAACATAAATGGCGTAGGCTACGCCATTTATGTTTATTTAGTGTGTAAATCAAAAGTACCAATGGGAGCATTTTTCGCAATTCGCATTTCTCATATATATGTTACGGACTTAATTGTAGAACACATTCGCACAGTAGTTCAAAATTAAAAAATTGAGGGAAGAACTCACCAAGTGGGGTAAATAAAAAAAATGGTCAGACTAATTTTGAAAACCCTTAACTCAACAAAACAAACACTACGATACAAACGAAATAAACATAAATGGCGTAGCCTACGCCATTTATGTTTATTTCGTGTGTAAATCAAAAGACCAATGGGAGCATTTTTCGCAATTCGCATTTCTCATATATATGTTACGGACTTAATTGTAGGACAAATTCGCACAGTAGTTCAAAATTAAAAAATTGTGGGAAGAACTCACAAAGTGGGGTAAATAAAAAAAATGGTCAGACTAATTTTGAAAATTTCCAAAATTTTTGATATTTTTAAAATGTCCAAAATCTCGAAAACCACTAATTTTAGACTCAGTTTTATTTTGATTTTTGTACTTAAACTGAAAAAAGTAAAAACATTCAAAATGAACAGATAAAAACCCCTTGGTTTACAATCCATGATAAAAGTTTAAATACTTTTAAAAACTACACTTTGTTGTTTAAAGAAACAACATTTTAATCTGTGATTGATTGTTGTTGAGAAGACGACTTTATAAAAGTGGGTAATTAAAACTTAAAAAAAATATATTATTTAATACACCGAATGTAAAAAACCAATCAGATTCGTATTAAAATATTCAAATAAAATTCTCAGTCTCTTAAATTTAAAAAATGGTAGGATAAATTCACACAAAACTGTGGGAAAAATTAGCAAAGTAGGATGATAAAATTTATGGTAGGACAAATTTTTAAAATTTTCAATTTTTTTCCCACAAGCCAATTATTTCTACTTTATAATAAAATGTCACAATTGTTGATAATTAATGAACATGATATTAATTAATCAAATAAATAAAGTTTTTATTATTTAGGGCACTGGGTTTACGAAGTGGAAAAATTCTTATCCCAGAAATACCTGAAACCGCTGCAGTACAACGGTTCGCCAACAGAGCGCGAACGTCTCCGCCTAAAATTCAAAAAGTACAACCTCATCGTGGCCTCGTACGATATCGTGCGCAAAGACGTGGCCTTCTTCGGCAAAATAAAATGGAACTACGTCATACTAGACGAAGGCCACATCATAAAGAACGGCAAAACGCGTACGAGCATCGCCATAAAAGACTTGGTGGCCAATCACAGGCTGATACTTTCCGGCACCCCCATACAAAACAACGTGCTGGAATTGTGGAGCCTGTTCGACTTTCTGATGCCCGGATTTTTGGGGACGGAAAAACAATTCACTGCCAGGTACTCGCGGCCCATCTTGGCCAGCCGCGACCCGAAATGTTCGCCGAAAGAACAAGAGGCTGGGGCACTCGCCATGGAGGCCTTGCACAGGCAAGTGTTGCCTTTCTTGCTCAGAAGGATGAAGGAGGATGTCCTGGACGATTTACCGCCGAAAATCACGCAGGATTACTACTGCGAATTGAGTCCTTTGCAGGAGCAATTGTACGACGACTTTTCCAAATCACAAGCTCATCAAACTTTACAGGTAAATATAAATGTTATATATGGCCTTTTTAAATTTCAAATAAATTATTTTTTTGGAGGAACAGTGGGAAGTAGTTTAAGTTTATAAATATACTAAATCTCTCCTAAAATAAGTAAAACATAATTATTAGACTGGGCCAAAAAAATTGACTATTTTTTTTTTGAAAAATATATCGAGAATGTCATTCAGAATGACAAAAAAAAATTTCGTGAAAATTTGAGCCCTTAATATTAATTTTAAGAGGTCTATCATCGCTATTTTTGATTTTTAGTCATAATATGATGTTTTACGTTAGAACTGTCAAAACATTAAAGTGAAAAAAATTCCTTTTTACTTATTTTTATATAAAATTAAATTCTCTACAAAAAAGGTCTGATTGAAAATTTTCGTCAGCCGAGCCGTTTCCGAGTAATTGAGCTTAATAAATCGATGTGTTTTTTCGATTTGCCCTTTTTACTTTGAAATTTTGTAACTAATGAATCAATGAATATTTAAAAATGCTCATGTCGGATTCTTAAAGGAAATTTAATGTTCTACAAAAAAGGTCTCTTAACATTTTTGCCTAAATTTAATTCTTCAAAAGTTATTCACGAAGAAAAAATTGAAATTTTAAGTTTTTCTTCGATTTTAATCGTGAATAACTTTTGAAGAATTAAATTTAGGCAAAAATGTTAGGAGACCTTTTTTGTAGAACATTAAATTTCCTTTAAGAATCCGACGTGAGCTTTTTTAAATATTCATTGATTCATTAGTTACAAAATTTCAAAGTAAAAAGGGCAAATCGAAAAAACACATCGATTTATTAAGCTCAATTACTCGGAAACGGCTCGTCTGAAGAAAATTTTCAATCAGACCTTTTTTGTAGAAAATTTAATTTTATATAAAAATAATTGAAAAGGAATTTTTTTCACTAGTAATACCACTAGAGGTCAAATTATTTCCGGAAATTTTTTCGAGCTCATGAATATTTTGAAAATTATCCCGAGTCGAAGACGAGGGATAATTTTCTAAAAATATTCATGAGGGAGAAAAAATTCCCGGATTTAATTTGACCTCGTGTGGTATTCGGTAAGAAAATTCCACACCAAATTGTGTTTAAATAATTAAAATTTATTTTTTGATTTAACTTGACCTCGACTTGATTATTTAGTTACCATGGCAACTAAGTCAACCCCAACCTAAAAGTTATTTCAGTTTTGAAGCTGTCAAGCGGCACGACGTAAAAAAATGTGAAATTGTCTGCTGTAATGATCAATCATCGTGCAATGACTTATTTACCCGCATTATTAGAGGATTGTGGCTCCTACTTGAAGAAAAAAAATTTGTTTTGAATTGTTCACGAATATTTGCATCTTAACTATTCAAAACTCAAAGTGCTAAATGGAAAAAAAAAAGGTGAATAGAATAGTGTCTAAATATTATATATATTTCATTAGACATAGACATTTAATTTATTTCAAGTCCTGCATTTTCGCCATTAAGAAGAAAGGAGGTGTCCAACGAATATAGAAAACATCTAAACTTTGTAATGGAAATGTATCAAAATTATCATGTAAACAAATAAAAACCAGATTGTCAAAAAAATATTCTGTCATTATAAACGTCAAAAAATTTCCAGTATAATTCGCTGTTGGGTACCCACGAGGAAAAAATTTCCACTTAAATTCAACCGTTGCCATGGTGATCTATGAAAAATACACGTTTTGATTGGTTAAAAATTACAGGTGTGGAATTTTCACTTTAATTTTTTGACAGTTCTAACGTAAAACATCAAATTATGACTAAAAATCAAAAATAGCGATGATAGACCTCTTAAAATTAATATTCAGGCCAATTCACTAACAGAAGTGGTTAACGTTAGCTACTAGAATCAGTGGTTATCTGCCAAACTGGCCAATAAGGTCGATTAAATATAACGATAACCACTAATTCTAGTGGCTAACGTTAACGACTAATGTTAGTGAATTGGCCTGATTAAGGGCTCAAATTTTCACGAAATATTTTTTTTGTCATTCTGAATGACATTCTCGATATATTTTTCAAAAAAAAAATAGTGAATTTTTTTGGCCCACTCTAATAATTATGATACTAAAATTGTTGTTTTACTTATTTTAGGAGAGCTTCACGTCCGATAAAACAGCAAGCTCAATGCAAGGAAACACGCACGTGTTCCAAGCTCTCAGATACCTGCAAAACGTGTGCAACCATCCGAAGTTGGTTCTGAACGCGTCGCATCCTCAGTACAACAGCATAACGGCTCAGCTGCGGCAAGAAGAGAGCCGCCTGGACGACATAAACCATTCCGCGAAGCTGCCCGCGCTCAAGCAACTGCTGCAAGATTGCGGCATAGGATTGAGTTCGGAGGATAAGTCGGCCGAATTCGTCATCAACGAGCACAGGGCTTTGGTTTTCTGTCAGCTCAAGGCCATGCTCGACATTATTGAGAACGATCTTTTCAAAAAACACATGCCATCTGTTACTTATCTGAGATTGGACGGATCTGTTCCACCAGGGCAGAGACAAACACTAGTAACAAGGTAAATACCGAATACTAATAATATTTTTTATGATTAAATTGTTTTGGAATTTAGGTTTTTTATTTATTGAATTAAAATCAAATGGCCAGTTGCTATCTAAGTGCATCTTCTCAGCAAAAAACGCGATTTTAACAAAAACAACAAAATTCGCACGACCTTAAAGAGACAGAACCCCAGGATTATTAAAAAAATTCTACATTCATATTTAAAAAGATATGAAAGCGCAAACATTGAGTTTTCATACTTACAAATAATAGGTTTACGTTGTTTATTAGGATGATTCATTTCCGCAAGGTTTTTTTCGGTGCTCAAGCAAAATATTAATCTGCATATAGAAAAAAATAGTCTCACAAAGTTTGGGCTCTTAATATCAATTTTAAGTACTTACTATTTAAATTTAAAGTTTTACCGTTTAAAATGCATGTAAAAATAATTTTTTTTTAAATTTCCAATGCTTACCCACCTTTTACAATATTGAAAATCGGTTTGATAGACCTTGTGGGGAATTTCATGCTCTTCAAAATTGCTCTGAAGTTTTTTTGTGTAACTCGCATTTGTTCATCGTCGTCAAAGTACAGTTTTTGAAAAATTATCGTTTTTTTAAATTTTTTTGAGCAAACCGCCAAAAGTAGGTAGAAAAAAGGGCTGACTCATAAAAAAAAGTTATCCAACCAATATTTAATGAATTTATAGCCATTTTTACAAATGAAAACGTAAGAAAGATTGATTTTTTCTATTTATTATCATTATATTTCCCTACACTAAACTTTTTTTAAATTATTATGATTTCTTACTCATAATGAATATGAAAACAACACATTAATTCCTAAAAAATAACAAGAATAAAATTGTAACGTGGATTTTGCAATTTTTCAAAATTTTTGTCATATAGCAAAAAAATATAAATGAAGATTATTTAATTTTTAAAAGCGAAATTTGGAATATGTTACATAATAACGTAACCTTCTGTATATTTTGATTAAGGTTTTGTTGTTTTTTTATGAATTTATGTGTTGTTTTCATATTCATTATGAGTGAAAAATCATAATAATTTTAAAAAAGTTCTTAGTGTAGGGAAATATAATAATAAATAGAAAAAAAATCTATCTAAATAACATTATGGGTTGGTATTTATTAATTTCTTACGTTTTCAGTTATAAAAATGGCTGTAAATTCATTAAATATTGGTTGGATAACTTTTTTTTATGAGTCAACCCTTTTTTCTCCCTACTTTTGGCGATTTGCTCGAAAAAATAAAAAAAACGATTTTTTTCAAAAACTTTCCTTTGACGACTCCTACTGGTGAACCAATGCGAGTTCCAAAAAAAACTCAAAAGCAATTTTCCCAGCAAATTACCCACAAGGTGTATCAAACCGATTTGCAATATTGTCAAAGGTGGATAAGCATTAGAAATTTGAAGAAAAAAATATTTTTTACATGCATTTAAAAAACTTAAAAAAACTTTAAAATTGATATTAAGAGCTCAAACTTGGTGAACATTTTTTTTCTATATGCAGATTAATATTTTGCCTGAGCACCGAAAAAAAAACCAAAAACTTTGCGGTCTATTAAAATGGCATTTAAATTGGAAAAAAAATCTGCGGTTCTCAAATTCTTTGAAAAAAATTAAAACCTGTAAAAACTAAAACTTGGTATAACTTTGTTTTCCTGTAATTATAATTGTAATTTAAATAAAAAGTAAGTTTCACATGTAAACATTGCTATTTATCTACATTTTCATTTAATTTGTGATTGTTTTTAACTAGATTTTAAGTTACAACCACTATCTTTTGTTTTCCTATGGCCGCCATAATGGAATTTTATATGGTTAGATAGAAAAAAAAGGAATTTAATGATGTATCAAACTACATGTTATGGCGACCATTAATAAAAACAAAAGATGGTGATGGTAACTCAAAATATAGTAAATTGGATTAAAATGTAGATTAATGTAGATAAAGTTATAACAATTTTTGGTTTTTGAGTGTTTTTAGTTTTTTTTTTCAAATATTTTATATTATTTATGGGACCCGAATTTGGGTATGAGGTGTCTAGTGGTGGGACTTGTGTGGAGCTTAGTACATAATATTGATCACACCATAGACAATGAGTGACTTTAAAATTAGGTTTTATCATGGCATTTCAAAGATATTGACTTTTGTGACTATTGTGATATGTATCTTGTGTTTGGAGAATGCTTAGAAAATGGCCTTGTCAGTGTAATGTTACAATTTGTTTAGTTTTTCTTCATAGATTTACCCTTACCTTTGAAGGGTCTCTACTTCTGTCCAGTCTGAGGTAAAATAAATGAGGAGCTACTCTGCAAAACGCAGTTTTTGAAAAAAGTAATTTTTTCAGGGTAGAGAAATCTTTGCTACATACTTAATTAAGAAATTTGAGTTTTTGTAAAAAATGTAAAAATTAAAGAAAAATGCGAGAATTCCATACAAGTTCGTTGTCAAAATATTGTTTTTTTCTTGCCGTTACTGTATCTCTTTAAAAAAATAGAAACTACATTTTGAACTGAACACCCCAAAATACTGAGGGGTTTGCAACGGAATTTACTTATAAATTGCGACCTGCTCAAAAAATAAACATTAATTTTATTTAAAAGGTAACTAGTAACAAAAAATTAGTTAATTAAAAAAAATTCTAATATATAACTTAAAAAATATTAAGGGTATTAAATTTTCAGGCGAATGTCTACTTCGTTGCAGTCGCAGATCAAGTTTTCTTCATCGACCCCTTCTTCTTCCCCGTTTGCAACATTGTTTTGGTTATCTATTAGATCTGCATACCATTTTAGATCTCCTACTTCCCTCCAATTAACTTTATTGCCAGCTTCGTTTCTTCCATAGGATTTTTGTAACAAATTGTCAATATCTTTTTTTTTCTTCTCTTTAATGGGTCTACCTAGTTTAACTTCATTTAATTTTAAATTGAAAAGTGATTTTCCAGGTCTAAGGCAGAGTTTTGGTTCATTTAGGTCGTTTTTATAGAAGTTCTCGAATTTTAAAGTAACTTTTCCAGAATCGTTTTTTTGTATTAAAATTCTCTTCGATTCACGAATATTATCAAGTTTTTTAAAAGTAGAATTTAGCTGTTTTATGTCAAAAACTTTCACTGTCCCTATTTCCGAAAAAATGCTCCAATAATCTTCTTTTTTTTAAATTTCTTCTTTTTTCCTCGTTTTCTTTTCAATTCTTCCAAAAACTCGATCCGCAGGTAGAAATGAGTGACCCCTTACTGGGAAAAACAAGATAACTTTTTTGATACTATGTGGGGCTTTATTGTTAAGCCAGTATGTCAGAATATTGACCACATTCGAATTTTTGTTTTGTCCAGAACACCCATCACAAAACAGTCTTATAACTTCACAATCTTGAGGTAGGTAAGCGTTCATAAGAAAATTGTATACTGCCGATCCTATCTCGTTTGAGCCTCTATTTGCCTGAGTCTCCAACCAGGTGTAAAATACAGGATCAGAGGTTTGCCTATCAGTAACACAAAAATTATACAAAGAAAGTTGAGTTGCATAGAAAGCCTCTTGTATCGGGACTTTGGGAAGAACTTGTACTTGCTGAAGATCAAAACACACTGTAAAAGTATTTTCATCATTCTTTTTCATTAATAGGTGGTATTGCTTAGCAGATAATTTATGCAGTCTTGATTTGGTCATGATTTCCATTTTCTTTGCTGGATTCGTTGCCATCTTAAGCTGGTTTTTAAGCTGATAGCAATAACTACACACGTCGGTAGCTGGCGAACCAAATCCTATGTTAAAATCTTTTCCAAAGATCCCATAAAAAAAAGTTTTTTTCACTTTTAAATTGAGATCAGCAGCAGAATTGTACATTTTCCATAATTTTAAAATGGAGCAATCCGACGGTAAATAGATTCGTTTTGATTTTTCTCTGTTATAATGCGATTCAGTTGCATTCAAATTTCCAAGAAAATCACGCACAGCTTTTCTTCTTTCATCGTACATTTTTGACCGACGATCTCCTCATCTACGTTCCTTTATACCATTACCGGCGATCATTTTTTTAGCAATTATTATAACACGCCTTTGTGTGATGTTAAGTGCCTTAGTAAAAAATTTTTGACAAACAAGGTGTCTTTTTTGGTTAAAATCATAAAAAATGTACTTTATACGAACACTTTGTACATTTTTAAAACCTGACCTATTCCTAGGATGCTTCACTACTAATAAATGTGCAATCTTGTTGTCCTGAATAGTACGATTACTTTCAGCGTATAACTTTTTTCTAGCGCCAATAATAGCACCACGGCTGATTGCGTTGCAGTTAATCTTCGCCTCTTTGCCAGTAGGACCTCTTTCATGGTTGCAGGGCCTTGTATCCATATCCTCCAAATTGGGAAAATGATTAGCGTATCTAAAAATTGTTATTGCTCAACAATGTTCATTGTTCAATTTGCAAAAATTACCTAAATTCCTTTTCCAATGCTCTTCTCTGAGGTTTCTTAATTTTCTTTCGTGAACCAGTCGTGTTGTGTTTTACCGAAATCGATTGCTCACCATCTGCATTCATTTTCGATGCAATTATTAATGAAACTTTCACAAAAGTTCGTGCACAGATTAGTTTGTGGATAAAAAGAGAGTTTTTACTTACTGTCAAACTTTGACAGCCAAAGTCATTTCTAGAAAAACTGCGTTTTGAAACGGACAACCTGGCAATAAAAATTACGGTTTGAAACAAACACCGGAATTTGAGACCCTTTAATTCGTAAAATATCACGATTTGATCCGAACGAGTTTTGTTAGTCGATGTAGTTCAGTTTTAAGCACCTAAGTGCACTTAATACTGAAAACTCTAAATTTTACAAAAACTGCGTTTTGCAAAGTAGCTCCTCAAATATCCTCGATTTTGGTCAATTTATTTTGACACTTTAGAATATTGCTGTTTGTTGTTATTATGATTAAACATTAAATCACCACTTTATTAAGCAAATATGTATACCCTATATTTTTTTAAATAATGAATGTGCATTTTTCAACAATTTTCTGGGATTCCTGGATGTCTGTAGATGTTTTATCATGCACACAAGAACTAAAATTTAATTTTGATTGATTTTCTTTTATTCTAAAAACCTTCTATTCTTTAAAGTAACTTAAGTTTAATTATGACACACGCTACACAGTATCTTCTTCACATTCTGAAGATCTAAAACAATTGTCAACATTAAAATAAATCACGTGAAACTTTCAAACATAGTTATTTTTTTTATATCTACATAATGTAATATGGAGTTTTATGAAGTAAAGGTCGGAACAATTAATTATGCTTAATAATTTTACAAAAAAGATTTTTTACCGCTTAATTAATTAATTATTAATGAAAATTAAGTTCTCAAAAACTGTGTGGAAAATGAACTTTTTTGGCAGTGTGCATTTTATTCATCCATCCTTTGATGACAAAAATTTGAAAATAATGGTATTATTCTGAAAAACGGTCCAGAACCTCCTTAAACCATTACATTTTGTAGGTATTTACTTTGTGTGGTTTAAGAAGACTGATTTTTGTTACTTTTTTATAACATAACTTTTCATTATTTTTGCTATTAGCATACTTTATACGCTAAAAACGTATGTTTTTTATTGATCCTATTAAACATAAAATAGTTTTTTAATAAAGAAAAGATTTTAACACTTGGATAAATATTGAGAAAACTGGTAATCCTCTCAAGAACATTGAGAAAATTGAGAATGAACAAGAAAAATTAGAAACATTGACAAAAAACGTTTAATGGTCTAATTCTGCCATGCTGTTAATAAATTCTCGGGAATTTTCTCCATAAATAAATGTTCAAGCATTTTCCATCTCTAGTTACAGCACTTTAAATTTTGAAAATGGCCCAATATTGGTTAAAAAACGATTTTATTTCGTTAAAACATGGGTTTTATAGGAAAACATTTTATAAATGTGTATATATTTTTTTTTAGTTTAATTAGTTATACAAATTTTAATGTTTGCATGTCTAAAAACACCTTTTGTCCATATTATAGCGAAAACAAAAGCTAATTGAGAAAAATGATTGTTGAAATTATAGCACCCAAATTACCTTAGAAAAGTTATTGGCCAGTATGTGGCAAACAAAAAATTTCATTTCTCTCTATTTTCTTTCAGATTCAATAACGATCCATCCATAGACGTGCTACTATTAACCACCCAAGTGGGCGGTTTGGGGTTAAATTTAACTGGTGCAGATACCGTGATATTCGTCGAGCATGACTGGAACCCCATGAAGGATCTGCAAGCCATGGATCGCGCTCACCGTATCGGTCAACGCAAAGTCGTCAACGTTTACAGATTGATCACCCGAGCAACTTTGGAGGAAAAAATAATGGGGTTAGTTTTAGGTTATACGCTAAAGAAGTATCGCTAGTAGCGCCACCACTCGGCTTTTATCATCGTAACAAAAGTACGACTTTGATAATCAGCTGTCAAACGCTTATTTTACAAACGAGTGTTTTTGAGAGTAAAGCCGGAAAATGTGGAAAAATATCGAAAAAAAACCGTGGCTCGATTTGTTGTGTTGTGGGTGTATTTCGAGAGGAAATCCTGGGTTGAGTTTTTACCGGATTTCCAATAAACAGTGTTAATCTGAATGAAGAAATAAATTGCATACAGTCTCTGTAAATATAAATTGTACCTATTAGATACAATAAATACACATTTTAGTAGTGATTAACGTGAAAAGTGTTAACATTCCAATTTAGTAAAAATCGTCAAACAAATAGTCGTCTTAATTTAAACAGCATTTATCAATATTAAAAGCGTTGATTAAGAAAGTCTCCACTCAACGGTAAAATACCATTATATTATGTATTATATATAATATGTTGCCATAGGGTGTGCCAAAAAAACTCGATATTTTTTTTTTCTTGCTCTCCACCCAAAATATCGTAGAATATGTCCGAACAAATATTCTGTTAAAAGCGGAGCTCATAATTTCAATTTTAAGAGGTCCCTCATCGAATCTGAAGTTTTGCCGCTTAAATAACACAGAAAACTGACTTTTTTACCTTATTTATTCTTGCAACCTAGGAAGATTTTTTTTTCTCGTAAAATCCATGACTAATTCTTACAAAGCATTAAATTTGGACAAAAAAATCTTATTAAGCCGAATTTCTATTTTCATTATTTAATTTTTTACATAGCTTTAAATTTAAAGATAATAATACAAAAATGATGACTTTATACGCCTGTAACTTTTAGAATATTGACGATAAAAAAAATTCGCCTAAAACTTTTTTGTGGTCTATCAGACAAGCTAAAAAATTACCATTTGACTTTTTCGTCTAACTTCAATAGTTTAGCTGAAAAAGGCAAAAAAACGTAAAATTTTAAATTTAAAGCTCTGTAAAAAATTAAATAATGAAAATAGAAATTCGGCTTAATAAGATTTTTTCGTCCAAGTTTAATGCTTTGTAAGATTTGGTCATGGATTTTATGAAAAAAAAAATGTCTTCCTAGGTTGCAAGAATAAATAAGGTAAAAAGGTCAGTTTTCTGTGCTATTTAAGCGGCAAAACTTCAGATTCGATGAGGAACCTCTTAAAATTGAAATTATGAGCTCCGCTTTTAAGAGAATATTTGTTCGGACATATTCTACGATATTTTGGGTGGAGAGCAAGAAAAAAACTATTTCGAGTTTTTTTGGCACACCCTAATGTTGCCATGAATTTTGTTGTTTAAAATGAAGTTGTCGGCGTTTTTTAGAGAACTTAAATATAAAAATGGTTGATTTTAAGGTTATGTTTGTGCAAAAATTATTTTTTACCAATTTCTTAAAAATGTCCAAACTTAAATATAAATTATATTGGGTAAACTTATCATTAGTTAATTCTGCACCAACAGATGTACTTACCGAATTGGATCCTTTGGCAAAACGATTTAGTTCTTGAATTTTATTTACAATTAAAAACACAATAATTCACCATGATCCCTTAGATAAAATGCACACACTAACGTAACTATATAAGCATTTAAGCGTTGAGTTTCTTAATCAATGAAATAAGGAACAATCAATCGAAATCGAGTACTAAAAAAGTTTTTTAATTTTTTCCTTGCAACGTAAAACACAAATAACGTGCGCGATTTAGCTGTGCAATTGAACAAAATTTGTCGAGTAAGACTTCTGCCTTCCTCTCTTTTGTGAAAAAACTACCTATATATTTAAAAATGATATATAATCTGTGCTTTAAATGTATTGTTGAATATATGAAGTCCACCAGATCGCGCGGGTTGCGAAACCTCGATACTTCTTTAGCGTATTTTGGTAAACATACGAATCGGTCCTCTTTCGTTCCAGCTTGCAAAAGTTCAAAGTGCAGACCGCGAACACGGTAATAAGCGGCGAGAACAGCCACTTGGAGACGATGGGAACGGAACAACTGTTGGATTTGTTCTCGCACAAGCCGAACGCGAACGGCGAAGGAGGAAACAGTCAGGGAACCGGAAGCGTGAAGGCCATCTTGGATTCCTTGCCGGAACTGTGGGACCAAAAACAGTACGATAGCGAGTACGACCTCAGCAACTTCATGTCCAAGTTGAAGTAGAGGAAGTAATTGTACAAAAAATGGTAAGCAATATTTATATGCACTAACAAATATTTTAATTGAAAACCCTTACAACCCATTTTCTAAAAATGTGTTTTATACCATAAATAATAAATCAATAAATACTTCTTATTCTATCACTTTAAAGGGACGAAAAAAGAAGAAACTTTGCGTTTAAAATCGTCCAGGTTTTTTTTTTATTTTTAGATATTTTTGTCTTAAAATTTTTTTATTTCTATAACGTTTATTTTTAAAATAAGAACAATTTTTTTGATAATTATATTAAGGTTATAATAAGAAACGTTTACATGACGCACGAGAAGCAGTGCCAAATACACTAACAGGCAAAATAATCGATCCACACAAATTTTCGATAAATTTCAATCGCAAATAACTTTTTTATTTGATGTCGGATTTAAACGAATACCTATTAAAGAATATTGTAGATAAATTAATGGACAATCGCTCACATTTTAAAAAATTACTAAAAAATAATGTACGTTTATAACACCGCCCTCGGTGGTGTAGTAGTTAGCACTGCGGACTACAAGCCGAGAGGTCGTGGGTTCGAATCCCACCAGGGGTATGGCTGTTTATTTGTGTTTGTTGTGTACTTCTGTAATTGGGCCTGGTGCCTGTTGAAGGCACATTAAAATATACTAAAAATAAAAAATAAAAAAATAAAAAATATACAGGTTTAAACAATAAGTTTAAGACACTCTGTAGAGTGGCAAAACCGTATATTGTTCTAAATTAAGTTTTATTTATCAAGTCACATCTATTCTTAACAGTTTTGTTTTTGGTTCACCTCGATATATTTATTTTAGTGGAAAATATGGATTTTTTAAAAAAACATTGCAATTTCCAATATTTTTCTGTAAGAAGAACTAAGGTTGCTATGGTCCATCCATATGCTATGGAGAATGACAGTGACAGTTTTGTTGAATCATCCACGGCGTTCTCTACCCAGGCGAGAGTGTGGTAGTGGGAGGCGTGACGTCAGGAGGCCGACTGCAATGGCAAATTAATGTATAACCGCAGTAATACAAGACGGTTTCATATAAATTATCTATTGCTTTTCCATTGATATCGCTTGATTTAACGTTAATTTAATTATTGCATTAGTTTGCTGCTTTTATAACATTATAAATAAATAAAAAATACCAAGAAAATGTTGCGTTCCTAACAGGAAAATTAATGTATTATCGAGGTAATGCAAGACAGTTTCATATGAATTACTGATTGTCAAAGCCGGCCTGAGGTTTTTTTGAACAGTTTTGCCGTCCCCTTTTTATTCAGCAGAAAAATTCTTTTGTTGACTATCAATTATTAAAATTATCTCTACTTTTGTAGAAGTATTGCTTGGGTTTCCTTTATTTATTGTACGGCCTAATAAAAGAAGAATATATTTAACAATTGTTTGCCAAAATACTATATTACCTACAATATTTTTTATAAAGACAGTTTTATGATTTGCCCCTTTTTCATGCTTCAAATGGCCCTTTGACATTATCCAAAAAGACTGGTTAATCTTATTATTTATAGCGCAATATAAATTATTCTATTGCGCTTATAAATTAATCCAATGTTGTATGTTTGTTTTAAATAAATTACTATTTTAAGAGCATACACAAAAAAAAAATAATTATTATTTACATTAAATAACCAACATTTTTATGGTTATAAGTACATATATACACAAAAATATTATAGGTAGGTACTCTTAATTCAAATCAAATATATGTTTACTTTTTTATTTAAATTAAATCTATTATGTTTTGTTGCAAACTTGTTTTTTTAAATGAATACCTATATTAATTTATTTTAAGTAAACTTTAATATTTAAAAGAGTATAATTTCTATATTTAAAATACAAGAAAATTTTATTAGAGTAATTATTCATAATAGTAATAGATCAATTAAACTAATTTTTTTATAAAATTAAACTTAACAAAATTATTATTTCATATTCTATATTATAAAAATTAGACTATACTTATTTTAAATATAAAAATCCAAAAAAATCGTTATTTTAAAATTAAAGAATTATTTTTTGTGTGCAGTTCTGTTTGATTTAAATAAATTTCTAGTTTAATAGCAGTTCTCTGTTTGTTTTTAATAAATTACTTAGTACATATTGTTCTGTTGCTTTGATAAAATATGTACTATGCATTGTCCACTGCTTTGGTAAGAAATACTCCTTAAAAGCAATAATAATCCATAACTTTGGTTGCAAAGCAATGTAATACAATAGGCGGACGTTGATCAGATCGGCCTCCTGACGTCACAGTTTCGATGCAGGAGTGGGGGCTACACTCCCGCCTGGGTAGAGAACGCCGTGAATCATCCCATACTTGGACATGTCATACACGGATTTCAAAAGCTATCAAATTGTTTTTTGCAAATTAATGTTTAAATTTTGAGGTGTCTTCTTACTTTAAAAAATGGATATGTCTCCGACTGATGTTGCCAGAGCAATTAATTTAATCCAGGATGGACGGTCACAGTATTATGTGGCAAGTGTTTTAAACGTCACAAGAAGTAAAGTACAAAGGGCAACATCAGTCGGAGACATTTTTAAAAGTAAGAAGACACCTCAAAATTAACACATTAATTCGGTAGCTTTTGAAAGTTGTATATGATATGTCCAAGTATGGGATGATTCAACAAAACTGTCACTGTCATCCTCCATAGGCTATGGATGGACCATAGCAACCTTAGTTCTTCATACAGGATAAATATTGGAAATTGCAATGTTTTTTTTTAAATCAATATTTTCCTCAAAAATAAATATATCAAGGTGAACCAAAAACAAAATGTTAAAAATAAATGTGACTTGATAATTAAAACTTAATTTAGAACAATATACGGTTTTGCCACTCTACAGAGTGTCTTAAACTTATGGTAAAAAACATCTTTTTGTTTAAACCTGTATATTATAAACGTACGTGTATTTTTTAGTAATTTTTAAAATGTGAGCGATTCTCCATTAATGTATCTACAATATTCTTTAATATTTGTTTAAATCCGAAATCAAATAAAAAAGTTATTTGCGATTGAAATTCACCGAAAGTTATGCGAAACACATACTCGAAAATTAAAATTAACCAACGCAAAGGATAAGCGAGATAAAAGTAAAAAACGATAGCCAATCTCAATACACGGCCATAGGGAAATCTTTAAATTGCTAGGATACTTTATTATTTATCATTTTAAGTTGTTTTCCTCCTCTGATTACTCCGAAATGATGATTATTCATGGGGAGTATGGTAGACAGCAAGAGTTTTTTCCCAGCGCTTTCCCGATCGTCCCATGGACTGTAAAGTTGTTCTGCGTTGTAACGAAATTCAAAGTGCTCCTTAACTTATTAGAACAGCGGAAAATAAAGAATCTATTTTCAATGCCTTTGATGCAAATAGTAGAAAGAGTATAAGGGCATTATAGTCCGGGAGGCAGTGAAGATTTTCGGTACTTATTTTCCCAGTCGGCAAACACCGATACAATTATTGGGTTTGTTATTCTGAGCAAAATTTATATATATTTAGGGGCGGGGGTTTCCGATGGGTTAAGGCGGAAAATGCGTTATAAAGTACAAATATATTGCACTTTTTTTTCCAGTGTTAAAAATAATTCCATTAGTGAGAGATATAGTGAACTTAAGAAAAAAAATAGTCTGGCTAATCTGTGAGTATGGGTAATATGTCTGGCCCTTATTTTCGCAGTCCTAAAAATTTTGTGAGATGATAGTTTATATTATACTTACAGCTGCAAATATAGTCTGGCTAATCTGGAACACTCCGAAAGCCTTGCCAGACTCGTCCAACCCTCTACAGGCGCGCTAAATTCGGCTGTTCAATTATACAGGCGATTGTTGTCATCTCTACATGTTTTTACTTTTCATAATGTATGATAAGAAAATACTTTGTGTAAAGCAAAATTTAAGCTAAAAAAAAATGTCAGTCCGTCCGCCACCAAAAAACTTTATTCGCGAATAACTTTGTAACTATCAGAGATACGAGAAAAGTCTGGCGGGGCTTTCGTGATTGTAAATAACAGCCAGACGTGTATTTTCTACGAAATTATAGTATTATTTATCATGTGAAAAATTTTCAAATCCGGGAAAATAAGAGCAAAATTTTTGTAATTCTTACGATTTTCAAGATGCCGCCAGAACAATTTGCCAATTTCATAAATCAGCCAGACTTAATTTTGATTATAGTTTATGACAGTACCAAATAATGGGTTAAATTTTAAGCATGGGAAAATAAGGGCTACGTATTTCAAAAACCGGTCAAATTTTTGCTTCCGCAAATTTTCAGCCAGACTGACTTTCCTTCACTTGGGATGTGCCAGACTGTTATTTCCATTAATAAAATGACTCACTTTAATTAATGTGAAATATTTATGACTGGGAAAATAAGTGGACTTGACTTTTTGGCTCATCTAGTGAACCCATCCGAAAATTTTAGCCAGACACACAAATTGTCGTTTTGTGTCACCATTTGAACAAACTTAATGACATTCACAAACTGGGAAAATAAGAAGATAAAAATCTTCACTGCCTCCCGGACTATTAGATTGACATCAAAAATTTATTCCAACATTCATTTATACCGATTTTTTCAATAATTTTGTTTAATTTACCGACCATTCAATATTAATTCTGTATTTAATATAACATTTTGTTTTATACGCTTTTAATATTGACTTTATGAAGATTGTCAATCATAAATCATTTAATTTATTATAATAGTTCATTTTAAATTACATATTATAGACTAACACCATCTAACTCTCGACATAAGTTTCGTAATTACAAATCTATTAAAATGGTATTTAAAAATTAAAAAAAAATCTGCGGTTCTCAAATAATTTAAAAAAACTAAAAACCTGTCAAAACCAAAAATTGTTATAACTTTGTTATTCCTGTGAAGTTAACATACACATTTATATACATTTTCATCAAATTTAAGTTTTTTTTTCGCTTACTAGGTTTTAAGATACCACCACCATCTTTTGTTTTTCTTATGGCTGCCATATTGGTATTTTGCATGGTATCAAACTATGTACATTATAAAAACAAAAGATGGTGTTGGTAACTCAAAAAATAGAAATTGTTTGAAAATGTGTATGTTTACATATAAAACTTACTTTGTTTTAAAATTACCAGGAATAACAAATTTATGACGAAAAACAATTTCACATACCTGTGTTTGTTTTTGTAGACAAATAAACATAATAAAACATTTAAGTTTTTACGTTTTTACAAAAGCTCCTATTAAAAGTCTTACTTACAACATAAAAGCTCTTTTTAGCATTTTTATTATTTTTGCAATATCAAAAACAAATGTTTACTGAGGTCGCGACCTAAATTTTCCACCTTTTAGAAATTTATAAAAAGTGTCCATTTAAAAATGGAACAACTTTAATGGACGCGTAAATAATTCATTCCAGTCAAATGAACTTTATTGTGAGCCCGTTCAAACGAAAAATATAAACCTCGACGAAAATTCTTTATTTTTGTTAAACTTTTTTCTTTCGCGTGACCTTTAACAGTTGCAGTAAACAAACGTAGTCTGGGGCGGGCCACTTCGAAATTGGGTCTTCGCAAATCCGACCCAATTTGGTTAGTCGAAATTGGGTGAGTGGTAATGGGGTCACCGTTTTTCGCGAACCTTGACCCAGATGCCGCGGCATCGATTCGTGACCCAGTTTTTCGATCAAAACAGGTGTCCATAGTTTTCTTAAACAAGACTTTCGTTTAAACATTTTATGTAAGAAAAATTGTAGATACTTTTAACGTCAAGTTTTTTCGTTAAAAATAGTGCATTGTGTATTTTAAAAGCGGTTATCCTATTTAAAATGATTCTTGGGGATATTACATTACCTAACAGGCGAAGAAAATGCTTAAAGCATATAAATATCATAGCCAAGCTCAGTGTTGTCTTTTAAAATATGTTAACATATACACTGTATATTATACAGTGTGCCCCGTTCAAAAAAACGTTTGAGGTTGTTTATTTTCAATTTGAATGTTTATTCTCATTGTAATTTTGATTATTTAGATCCAAATATGTTTATTCTTATTTTGAAAGTGACTGTTTTAATTTTTATTTTGTAATATGACTGATCCCAACATGAATGTGATAAGTCTTAATTTGTAACTGAAAAGTCTCAATTTGAAGTTGAAAAAGTATAAATGCCTTGTTTATTTTGTTTCCATAACAACCATTTTTAGATGCTTGAACTCGATAACACTGTGTTCTTTAGGGTGCTTTTTTTTCACGACCATTTTTATTTTTTCGCTCCCAATTCAAAATTTTGTTGAAAATGTTAAAAAAAAATCCCTGAAAATTTGAGCCTTTAGTATTAACTCAAAGTACTCGACCAAAGCGTATAAAGATTTCCCATTTAAAATACACGTAAACTCTGATTTTTTTTTAAATATCTATATTTTATCTATAGCATTTTATGCTATTGGATTGTTTTAAAAAGGGATTTACTCGTTATCAAAAGTTCTACAAAAATGCTTTATGTGCCATAGCTCTAATCTGCACCTGTAGGATGGTATGGGTCACTAAATCTTATTTTAGTGATAAATTCTCATATTTTTGAAGATATTTCAAAAGTGACTGGATTTATCGAAAAAATGTAAAGGACAAACTTGTAGAAAATTTAATTTTCTTTAAAAAAGGCCTTATCCGTTGAATCGCTAAGATTGATATTTGTTGAGATATAAAGCGTTTACATTGACAATTTATGAAATTTTTAGGATTTTCGTACCAAACTTTTTATAAATGATGATTTTCAATTGTTTATCAGTACAATTTCATTTAATTACTTTTTTTCTACAGTCGGGTGATTAGAAAAAAATAAATAACTCAAACAATGAAGAATAATTATTAATAACATAACTTTAAAGAGAAAAGATATGTCTAACCTAAAAATTGATATAACGAGGTGTATTACATACATGTTATTTTATTAATAATTATCCTTGATTGTTTTGGTTATTTATTTTTCTCTAATCACCCGACTGTAGAAAAAGCGTAATTATATGAAATTGTACTGATAAACAATTGAAAATCATCATTTATAAAAAGTTTGGTACGAAAATCCTGAAAATTTCATAAAATGTCAATGTAAACGCTTTATATCTCAAGAAATAACAATCTTAGCGATTCAACTGAAAATACCTTTTTTAAAGAAAAAAATTAAATTTTTAAGTTTGTCCTTTACATTTTTTCAAAGAATCCAGTCACTTTTAAAATATCTTATGATAATTTTTCACTAAAATAAGGTTTAGTGACCCGTACCATCCTACAGGTGCAGATTACATCTATGACACATAAAGCATTTTTGTAGAACTTTTGATTACGAGTAAATCCCTTATTGAAACAATCCAATAGCATAAAATGCGACTGAGATTTAGATATTTAAAAAAAATAATCAAAGTTTACGTGTATTTTTAATGGGAAATCTTTATACGCTTTGGTCGAGTACTTTGAGTTAATATTAAAGGCTCAAATTTTCAGGGAATTTTTTTTAACATTTTCAACAAGATTTTGAGTTGGGAGCGAAAAAATAAAAAAAAATCGTGAAAAAAAGCACCCTAGTGTTCTTACTATTCAGAATATTATTCTGAATAGTAAGAACACAGTGTTTTCGAGTTTTAAAAAACTTATATGCTTAATAACTCATCAGTAGTGTGAAACGCGTTACGTGTTTTTTTAAGAAAAGGCCGGAAAATGTTAAAAATATTTAAGTTTCCCTTGGTTTAAGTTTTATACATTATTTCATTCGGTGATAATTATCAATTGCGCACCATGGTCACTTTTTACCTGCCAGGATTAAATCCTTTAATTTAAAGGATTATTGTACTATTTTTAATAAAAATACCTCATTTAAGGTAAAAAAAGACATTATTTTGTCAATTAATTAATTAAATCCTAATTGAGGTATAAAAAATGGTATTTAGTAAATAATAATTTTTATAATAATTTTTATTGAGGTATAAAGAAACTATTTATAGTTGGGCATTATTTAATCAATTTAGTTCGAAGATTAATTTGCAAACAAAAAGACCTTCTTTCGTTAGCAGTTATTTATAATGGATTTTTTAACAGTTGAAGAAAAAATAGAAATGATTTTGATTTATGGAAAAGCAGGCAGGAATCTTGATGATGCTGTTGATATCTACGCTCAGCGATTTCCGGATAAAATTCGATCACTTACTCCATTTCACCGTACAGTCAAGCAGTTTACTACAAACGGGAGTGTTCCACCGAAAAAAAGAGTTCGTCGAGCAACAGTCACAGGTGGAAATAATGAAATTAATCTATTAGCAGCAACGGCCGCTAATCCTCATGCAAGCACACGAGAATTATCTAGAGATTTGGGAATATCCCAGAGCAGTGCTAGTAGGATAATATAACGAAATGCGAATTAATAAATGCATTGAAGTCGAAGGCCTCCATTAAGCACCTACTAATTAAAATTTAAAAAATTAATAAATTTAAAAAATAAAACCAGGTATTTTATTCAAAATTTTTTGGAGAATCGTATACAGAAGAAAAATCGAACAAAATTGATTTTTTTTCATTCATCACAGCGCCATCTATTACAAATATGAAAAAATGTTTTAGACAAAATGTACCTATTTTTAGTCGAATTATCCGAATCTGCAATAAAAAATTTATATATAATTTAAAAAGTGGTAGGTATTATTTAACTCAAAAAGTTAACAATCATTTTAAACAAATAAAATTTTAAAAGAACTTAGGTACCTAATAACTTTTGTTTTAAACCTGTGTTAATTTAATATTTGAAACCTTGACAAGAACAAAAAAACTATATCAGACGTAAAATTATAAAAAATAGGTATTAACCCTCTATGAAATAAAAAAATGCCGAATTTGTTTAGTTTTAACTATAAAAATGTTTTAATTTCAGGTTAACAACAAGCAATAACGTCCGTCTAAATTAAACTAGGATTTTACCAAAGACTATTTATTTTGTAGCTTAGAGTCCCACCATCATTATTCCATTACCATCATTATTTAATTAATTTATATCATTAAATTCATTGGCTTTTCAAGGCAACTTGCGTCCAAAAAGCAATAAATATATTCAATATAACGTTCTTTTATTTTCCTGAAAATTAAAAAAAACAAAGTTTTTGCTATAATTCATTTATTTCAGTTACACAACTGGTAAGTAGGTATGTAAAATTATGTACTTCAGTCCTTGATTATATTTTATAAATCTACATAGTGATATGGCTATATATTTTTTTAATCTTCTCTAAATTTTTGGGTATATAAATATAACACTTTTTGCTAACATTTATCTCCTACATAAAGCGGTTCTACATTTTCACCCCTTTTACAAGCGGGTGAATCTAGCCATTCTAAATATTAAACATTTTCCTTCTATAGTTAATCACAAGTATATTTGACAAGCATTTTTATGTAACGATTCAAAAGAATAAAAATACTTTTTTTAATCTAAATATTGCTTATGCACAACTTTGTATTTGTGGTAATAAAATTAATGGGTCGTTGTACAGGGTACTAAGTGATTAATAGATGTGTAAAATATTATACCCTGTTCAATGATTTTTATGTATGTATATCTTAAATTCTATTTTCTAACATTTTTTCTGCCTCTAGGGTGGTAAAAGAACTTTTCCGGAAAGTTCTTTACAAATTACAAACTACTTTAAGTTAAAGATAAAATTATTTGCCAAGGAAGTCAACCAGTATTGTCTAATAAGCATTATTTTTTAAAGCCTAATGGTTAAATATTTCTTTTTTAATATATTATATTTGGACATTTTTCCTCTGCTATATTTGACAAAGGTTTAAAATACCTACATTTATATATTTTTTAACAACAAAATTTACTAATAATTAAAATTAATAAACTGATTTTAATTATTAGCTCACAATGTATGGAAGTTTATTTTTAAGTTTTTAAAGCATTTTGCAAAAACTAAATATAAAAAGTTATATATCACAGAACAAGTAACTGTTTAGTTCCATCACAGAGATAAGTACTAAAAATTACCCAAAATACTAGTTTGTCATTTATAATAGAGGTAAGATTTTTGTAATTTTATACACATATACATAGAAGGTATGCATAATACCGAATCGTATTATATAAACTAAAATTTGGCACCTTGTTGAAAATAGAGAGATTTTTTGGGGTATATACAGGGTTTATCTAGGGACAATAAACACGTTCACTTAACTTTGTTATTTGTGAACACCCTGCATACTCTGTGTGTATCAGCCTTAATAAAAACAGTTCAAAAATTGATTTTAAGATTGTTTAAACGGAAATTGTCATGTTCTTCGAACTTGGTAAGAAGTTGGCTGCATTGGATTATAAATGTGAAAGTTACTAAAAATAAAATGTTTTCTCGTCTTGACCCAATAAAATTTTTAAATGACAAGATAACTTTTCTGGCAAAGGAACTTTGGAAAACTTTTGGCATCAAATTTTCTTATGCAGTAAAGTTAAAATAAAAGGATTTAAAATTTTCATTTTTGAGTGATGTAACATTTTCTCTTTAGAGAATATGGCCCTGCGTTACGAGTTCCAGGAAAGCATAGGTAAGAGATAGAATAAATCAATCCAATATGGCGGCCGTAAGGGACCGTCCATAAATCTCGAGACGCGTATGAAAATATAAATTTTACGTGGTAAGAAGCAAAAGGGTACAAGTGCAAAAAAGAGAAGTGAAGTTATTAACTAAAGTTTTTGCTTTATACAAATCAATGTTTGCATTAATCAACATGCAGAACTCGTACAATTTTAACATTACAAGAAAAAAAAATTGAACCCTAAACTATCCAATTCTGCACTTAACTTATTTTTTTTCCCACCTTTAAAACGCCCTTTATCGTACATGTTTCCATGACACTAAGTGACCTTTTAAATACACATTGACAAGTTGTGGCTTTACGGCGCTTTAGTCACGGGCTGAAGTTAGCAACAGGTTTTTAGTCACGGGCTGAAGTTAGTTTTAAGTTAGTTGACAGTTGTCAAATGTCATACAATCGTTAAAATAAAGTGCCTTTCTTGTAAAATAATACTAAATGTGAAAATTATTTTATTATCTCAATACAAAAATACAAAAATATTAAATAGTTTCTCAACGCCAATATTTGAAAAGTTTATATGAACATTGTACTGAACTTTTAATTTCGCCGGCAGTAAACTATAACTTAAATTCGGCACGGACTCTACTGTAAAGTCCTCATAAAACATTTCCTTTACTTTGACTGTGAAAAACTGTCAATTTTCAATATACATTTCGATTTATAACCTTTATAATTGTGTTTATAAAATGTAAAAATGTGACATTTGACAGTTTCCCCTGTTGTTTCATAGGTGGCGCTCTATACAAATTTTTGATTTAAATCATTTTAAGATAATAATTAGTATTTGTCTTAGAAAAAGTATAGTATGCACCTCGTTTATAAACTTTTCTATACACTCATTAATTTAAGAACTCGCTCGTGCCTAAATTAAATTCGTATATAAAATGGCGTTTATCAAACTTGATACATAATATACTATTCATGCACATGTATTTAAATGCACTTAATTGTACCCTTTTGCTTATTACCCCTTCATTTGTTTAAAGTTCAATTCTAATATATGTGGTTGTCATTCTGCTACTGAAGTGGAAGATAAGATTCAAAGATTAAAATAATTTAAAAATGCCCTTGTGGAAATTTTTCTCTGAAAAAGTTTTAATAAGTAAAGTAAGTTTTCAAAGTCTTAATCTTAAAAACTCTGAATAATTATGTCGGAAAAAGTCAGAATAAGACTTATTAAGTTGGAAAAAGTCTGAATAATTCTTTGTAAGTCAGACTAATAGCAAGATTTGGGAGTCTTATTGAAGAGTTAATAAGACTTTTAGAAAATAAATGGTAGGTACCCAGTGCCGGATTAGCAGTACAATAGGCCCTAGGCTAAAAATTACTTAGGGCCCCATTTATTTTATGGTGGTCATTTTTTTGATAAAGTCAAATTTGAAAGAAAAATAGCTGGTTTGTATGTTTATTTTTAAAAAAGTACATAAAAATCAGATAATATCTAAAAACATTAACTCCTATTGCTTTTGTTTTAAAACAAAATAAATAATGAAGTTTAAAATTGTATACAAAGAAGCCTATGGAATAAAAAGACCCTATATGTTATGAATACCTACCTTCCAAATTTATTTTTGAAGTTCCTGGTAAATCATCATGTGGGCAATGAATAAAATTAGACTTCTGTGATTGCTTACTATCAATATTTTGTGTTTTAAAAAATGTGTCTATTTTTGGAACATTTGCTAGAGATGCCGCCTGAAAAACAGCTCTTTCTTTAGCTATTTTACGCTTTTTTGCCCCACTTGGATAGTTACTCATTTTAGACAATAATATACAGACACTGACTTAATTGTATAATGTACACTAAGTCACTATGCACTAATTAAGTTTTTTAATACAAACTAATTTTGTAATTATTACTACAACTACCTATAAATTAATAACTTTCAACTATCGAATAAACGAAACTCGTACATAATCATAATGAAATGACTACTCCAGGCACTCCGCCTTGTATTTACGCTAGGAATTGAAATTCGGGGATTCACATAAGTTTTTTGCAGCGCAGAGTGCAGCTGCAGAGGCGTCGGTCGGTCTAGGTATCTTAAATCGCAGTAAAAACTAACATTAGCGGTGCGTGCCACGCTGCAACTAGATTTAGTATAAATAATGAAAATAATTATTTTTTTATTATTATATTAATAAAGTGGTAGTAGTAAATTATTTTCTTAGTTCTTCTTCTATTTTACTTTTCTTTTCATTAATTTGAAGACTTTTAAGGGCCCCTCGCAAGCCTTGGGCCCCTAGGCTATAGCCTACTTAGCCTATTGGGTAATCCGGCTCTGTAGGTACCTATACCTATAGCGATTAAAATAAATATCCGGATCTATTCAGAGATGTTGTATTTGGTTATTTGTGTTGTTATAAGGCTTATAAAAACACGAAAGCAATGTTTACAATAAGGTAAGCAACGTTTACTTCAATTTATTACAATAACTGAACTAAACTCTTATTTTTACTTATTAAAACTTTTTCAGAGAAAATTTTCCACAAGGGTGTTAAAATCTCTAAAACAATAAAAACGTTGTTAATGGAACAATTGGTATAAACATGTCTTGATTTGTAGAAATCTAGTTTAGTTTAGCCAAACTCCGAAAGCAACCATGAACCATTCCGTTTAAAGAAACCTAAATTTAGTTAAGTAAATAGGGCCCAGCAATTTTCGTGGTGTGCGCACCTTTATCGTGGCACACTATGTGCACAAATTTGAGGTTGTTGGTGGTGAAAAGGTCGTTAAAGATCGCCTTGTAGTCGACCGAGGAGTCGTCGCGCCCCTTGATGACGCCCCCCTCCTCCTGGAGCGTCGCCCTGACGGCCGGTATCACGGCCCTAGACCGCTCCTTGGTGTGGTCGAGGTTCCACGTCTGAAAGACGATGCGCTCCTCGCGGCTGCGGTACGGGTTGATGGAGTGCACGGGCAGATAGAGGCACACGAGCTTGTCCCACCTGCCCTGGCACTCGAACCGGCCCGCGGCGTCGCACAGGCTCCTCAGGTGCGCGTCTCCTCCAGTCGCACGCCTCCTGTCGAACAAATGGCCCTGATATTTACTTAGCTTAAGTCTAGTTTGCATTTCCCTAAGCAATCGCTCTAACTCATGCGACGGTATCGTATTGTTTACTTTCGATTTCGACAGTTCTTCCTTGGTTTTGTAGTAATAAGTGCGGATACGGTCCTGGGCACGTCTGAACATGTATTCCTCTTTTGTTTTCGCCAAGGTGTCAAGCCCTGGATCATTAAACACCAAGTCAGTATCCCAACCCAACTATCTCTCTACGCGATACCGTTGTTAACGCGTTTCAAATTTAAATAATCCACACCGAATTTAGATAATTTGCAAATTTAAGAAACTAATGCATACAATTTGACCTTAATGAAAAAAATGCAGACAGAAAAAAAATATTGGAGAAACAAATTTAGTGGTTCAAAATTTGTTTTGTTATACTATTTTCTGCTTCAATTTTTGTTTAAAATAGGTGTGTTTTGGTATGAATGTAAAGTCGCCGTCAACCATAATTTAAATAAGTTATTACTAAAAATAATTATTATAATTAGTAAAAACTATAAAAAATAAAATAATAATATTATTATTGTTAAAATTTAGTTTTTCTTGACTTCTTGAAAAATCTTTAATTGTAATATTTGTACATGAATTTAAAATGTGCACCATATCATAGTATATACAGTGTTACCCATTTGTTTGCGACTCACCCCTGTAAAATCTTTATTTATTATGCGATTTTAACCGGATTTGTTTTAAAGTGTTGATATTGATATACTGTTTTTTTGGAGCAAAAACGCCATATTAGTACAAAATACAAGGCCTACTATGTCAGTTTTTAGGAGTAAATTTTTAAGAATTCATATTGGCGATTTTTTAAACAAAATCCACCCCTCAAAACGACCATATACTAAATTTTATTTTATTTTGTCAAGTTATCCATGAAAAAACATTGAAATGAAATTAAACTTATAGTAATAGATTACTATATTACCATGTTACTATTGGTTTAATTTTATTTCAATGTTTTTTCATGGATAACTTGATAAAATATTTTTTTTTAGTTATTGTGCATTTTTCTACTTAAAAATTTTTGATAAAATGTAGTATATGGTCGTTTTGAAGGGTGGTGAATCCAGTGCCGTGCTTAGATTTTGTTTAAAAAAATCGCTAATATGAATTCTTAAAAATGTACTCTTAAAAACTGACTAAGTAGGCATTGTATTTTGTAAAAATATGGCGTTTTTGCATAAAAAATACAGTCGCAAACAAATGGGTCACACTTTATAAGATATATGGGTCATTCCACAAAATAAAAATATCGTCAAAGTTCCTAAATATTAAGAGTACTTAAAAGTACTTCATATTAGGAGCTAAAATTTTTGATAATTTTTTTTTATTTGGTGCTATGTATGGGTATCTCCTTTATTTGAAGAGCTACAAGATCGTTTAAATTAGACATAAGTTGCGTAAATACGGAAAAAAAACCGGAAAAATTGGGGAAACAGTTTTTTTCAGGCCTTTAAAAAATGGACTTTTTTGTGAAAAATTTATTTTTTTCCAAAAATATACAAAGCATTTAACAACTTAACATTATTTTATTAAAAAAATAAGGAATTTATTACAGAAAAAAACACAAACATGGATTAAGAATTGAATTTTTATTTTTTTGGTAGCCTTTAAATAAAACGAAAAGATTCAAGTAAATTTTTCTGAAAATTTCACCGGCTTTATAAATTTTTTTCAAAATTCCCAGAAACAACACGGTGTTATCACGATTTTTTGTTTTGACAGGTTTTCAGGTTCTTTTTAATTTATTTGAGAACCGCTGTTTTTTTCAATTTTTAAATGCCATTTTTTTAGACTTGTAATATTACAAGTCTAAAAAAATGGCATTTAAAAATTGAAAAAAACAGCGGTTCTCAAATAAATTAAAAAGAACCTGAAAACCTGTCAAAACAAAAAATCGTGATAACACCGTGTTTCTGGGAATTTTGAAAAAAATTTATAAAGCCGGTGAAATTTTCAGAAAAATTTACTTGAATCTTTTCGTTTTATTTAAAGGCTACCAAAAAAATAAAAATTCAATTCTTAATCCATGTTTGTGTTTTTTTCTGTAATAAATTCCTTATTTTTTTAATAAAATAATGTTAAGTTGTTAAATGCTTTGTATATTTTTGGAAAAAAATAAATTTTTCACAAAAAAGTCCATTTTTTAAAGGCCTGAAAAAAACTGTTTCCCCAATTTTTCCGGTTTTTTTCCGACACTTTAAAGCCCTATATATAAGTTATGGCGGCCATTATATAAAAACAAAAGATGGTGTTGGTAACTCAAAACATGGTAGCGAAGAAATTTGAATGAAAATGTAAATTAATATATGTTTACATGTAAGACTTACTTTGTTTCAATTTTTTTAAAAATATTTTGGGCTTGTAAATTACTAGTTGTAATAACGCAACTTTTCTCTAAATTAAACGACCTTGTAGCTCTTCAAAACAAAAAATACCCATAGAAGTATAATAAGTGCACCCTGTATATAAAATATATTATAATTATTTGTATTATATAAAATATATAGCACCCTATTTTAAATATTATTTTGTAAGGTAAAACTATAAAATTTAAATTCAAAATCCAATGTTTCATTAAATCTGGCAGCGACTGTACTTTTATCATTGAAATGTGTAGTTTTGAGTATTTTAAGTATGTAAATATTAACTTTAAATAAATTCCTTATTACCTTCAAACCATTCAGGGTGTTCCGTTTTCGAGCTTAACTTGGATTTATCCCCGTCTATACCCCTCAAAACTTCGGCAAGCTTAAAAACTTTATTTTTCATTTTTTCAGTGAAGAACTCCTGGACTTTTTCGCCGGCGCTCAAATATTCATCATTAACTTCCCTTATCGTTCTGAAATTAACAGAAAATATTAATTTAACATAAACATTTTTCTGTACTTCACCGACCTGTATAAAATTTCAGCATCAGTGTCGGCTCGTTCGCCGTCCTTCACCCAGATCAGTAGCGTCTGCGCGGGCAGGGTTTGAAAATACTCATCGTTCTCAATGACAGTCCCATCTGGAGTTTGAAAATTGATTTGGTTCGGAGAATATTTCAATTTGAATTTGTCGATCGTTTTTTTCTTCAGATCGTCGTAATTTTTCACCGCGATTCCCACCCGCGTTTTTCGCTCCGAATCCGTTATTTTAAAGCCTTTTGGAGTCATTTCTATAAAATATAGATAACATGCGTACAAAATCTAGACCAAACATTTCCGGAAAATAGTTAGTTAAATAGTTAATAGGAGTTGTTTTCTTATTTTTATGCAAGGAAACATATACTGAATTTGTTCGCAAAAATAAAATGTATATACAGGATTTATATTATAATATATATATGTAAATTATTATAATATATATATATGTAAATTATTATAATATATATATGTAAATTAAATATAAAAAGTTTTTGTACGACCCTCGTAGTTTTATTTGAATTTTTAAAGATATTTCTCAAAATATTTAAGCAAAAAGCATTATAATGCAAATTAAATAAAAATTATAACAATAATTTGTTTATCTATGTTTAATAATTACGTAAGTACTATTAAAATCACAAAAACAAAGGAAATCTGTTACCAATAAATGCACAACAAAGTAAAATCGATGATGGCCTTGAAACGTAGCATCCAAAACAAATAAAACCATTAGCTTAATAAGCGCAAGAAATGAGACAGCAACAAAAAAATAAAACAACATCAAAATAAAATGTTTATTGCGACTCAAAAATCTTTTATTTACCTACTTTTTTAGAGCAGTTCCGAACGCCACAACAACTAATGCTAGACTAAGGTAATCTTGGTTGCGTGGTGCATTTATAAGTGCACTGCCGGCAACGTAACAGACGAAAATAACTAGGCCAATGTCATTGTCATCGCGTTTCCCTTTTGCTGGTGTTTCCGAGCGGAAAATGCGCATGTTCTTCGGCTGGAAATCGATGATACGCCAACCTTGGAAAATCTGGGGTTTTCCGGGTAACAATTAATTAGCGCCTGGGCCTGTGTCAAGGATTTTTTAAATACATTTTTTTAATTGGACTAAATTTAAAAGAAATGTAATTATAATAACATTATGAAACAAGTAAGTTAACGTGCAAATAGAGGTTTTTTAAAGCATATTCTTTCGATTATTTTGTTTTTTTTATTTGTTGCCAACTGTTGAAATCTTTAAGGCACTAAATAATACATATAACAAACCTAAAAATTATAAATTCCCGCGCGTTTTACTAATTTGACGTTTTCTTTTGTAATTTGATTTGCGAACAACCTGTAGATTTTTTTTTGTAAATTGTAGATTGTAAAAATGATAGTGAAAAGGGGTGCCTTAATAGTCGTTGAGGGTGTAGATAGGTCTGGAAAGTCCACACAATGCAAAAAATTGGTGGAAACGTTAAAAGAAAAAGGATTAAATGTAAAAGGTTTTAATTTTCCTGATAGAACCACTGCAATAGGAAAGGTAATTGATGAGTACTTAAAGGAAAGCACTTCGTTGAGTGATGAGGTTATACACTTACTGTTCACTGCCAATCGATGGGAAAAAATGCATGAAATAAAGAAGAGTCTTACGGAAGGCACAACATGGATTATTGACAGATATACCTACTCAGGAATTGTTTTTTCTTCCATTAAAAAAAGTATGTACCCTGTAACTTTAAATATTAATATTTTTAAGGTAGTATATCCATTTTAAGAGTTATAACAGTATGCCGTGACAGCAAATTTAGTGGTGCCAGTGAAGTAAAAATAAAACGTATTTTAATTAAAAATTAAAGTATCATTATAAACAAAAAACTACATAAAGAATAATAACTTTTTCTTCATAAAATTGTTGGTAATATGCTCCACACATCAAAGTCCCACCAATGGCTTTAGCTTAATTTTTTGTCAGTGTCAAGCTAATTTCGTCCTCTTTAAAGATTTATAACTCAAAAAATACATAGTGGGTATTGTATTATTTTTAAAAATAAGACAAAATGAAAGAAAATTAACCTTAATTATTTCTATCAAAGTCACGTGGTGGGACTATGATGTTTGGAGCATAGTAGGTACCTACATAATTAACCCTTAAGGGTTAACTTTTGACCAAAACAAAACTTCCTATCCTAGACCTAGGCTTCCTATTTGATTAAAAAAATTATGACCAAATGAAGGTAAAATTTAATGGGAGTCAAATCAAAAAGGAAATTTGATTTATGATAAAAATAGATAAACAAAATATTAAAATTTAGAAAAAATCAACCGTTCGATATTTCCGCCAATTGGTACCAATCTTGCATAATATACTATAATTTTTATCTAGCTAAGCAGTTTTTTGCTAGGTATACAGGGCCGGATTTACGAATTTGCCGCCCATGGGCCCAACGCATCATTACCCCGAATAACGAATAAGCGAATAAGCTAGAGTCGCGCCCCACTCGCCTCGTGTACATCGACTGCCGCCCTTCTACGCAGTGACGCACTACGCAGAATAATAGTGTAGTCTGATATAAAAATATCTAATGTATGTAAAAACTTCTCTTCCAACTTTTTATAGTTTTAATTAGTGTATAAAACGCTCTTGATTTTTTAGCAAAATTTTAACTGGCCTTCAAAATTTGCCGCCCCTAAAAATTTGCCGCCCTGGGCCCGGGCCCATGTGGCCCATGCCTAAATCCGGCCCTGTAGGTATAGGTAGTATATATATATATATGTAATTTGTTTTTTAAACTTCTCTAGAAATTTGTTTCTTAAACACTCACTTTCACAAACCTGTTGAATAATATACTATAATTGTTATCTAGCTTAGCAGTTTTTTGCTAGATAACAATAATTGTTATAGTATATTATTCAACAAGTTTGTGAAAAGAGTGTTTAATAAACAAGTTTCTAGAGAAGTTTAAAAAACAATTTACATACCGTAAACACGGGTGGCTTTGGCTCACTTTCAAACTTCAGCTTAAAATTTTTGTGGTTTTAACAATCATAAACATTAAATTTTGTATACCAAAATTTGAGTCTTGAGTTGCTCTTTCATAATAACTATGTTATAATATTACATAAGGCTGAGTTTCAAAAATAAACATTAAAAACTGGGTGTGCAAAGTTACCCCCTGGTTGCGGGTTACTTTGTCTCACAGTGTTTTTTCAGTATAAAATGAATGTAATATTATATTTTATTTTTATTAGACACGTGTTAGCAGCGACATATATCTATTGCAAGGGATTATCAATAAAAAAAATAAAAAATCGACCTGTAATTAACCAAGGATCATCATTCCAATGGATTGCGCATAATATAGAAATTGTAACGCGTGTATTTCTAAGAGTTTTGCACTGATACGATATATACAATTTTAAAGTGTAATAAATCCCATTTCCTTCTTTAAAACACTGATTTTCCTGTAATATAAACTCAATAGAATCGCTCAATTCACAGGTTTAGACCAACAAATTATAAATGTTAATTTTATCGAGCGCGAAAAGATTTTTCATAAATGGGTTAAAGTCACCCGCGGGGTGCAAAGTCACCCGTATTTATCTGGACTCGTGTTTTTTTGTTAGGTTGGTGGCTTGTGCCAGTTTCAGTATTTAAAAATGGTACTTCTGCTAAAGAATTTAATTTAATACTTTGACACTGTCAAGATGACAATAATATTTATTATGGATAATTTACTTGTCAATTATAAATAAAAGAATAATTATGCCAAAAGTAATTGCAACGAATTCGAATGTAAAAGCCCTTTTGAGGGCAAAACTTCATTTTGATGAAATTATGCCAAATGTCACAATGGAAGAAAAAGTACATCGCCTTATGGACATTTTTGGAGTAAAAAAGTAACGAATTTGGTTTTATAAATGTTACATCACACCACAATCCATCACACATTATTTTCACATTATTCACTATTGGACAACATTTACGTTCACAAAAAATATTAATTTTTTTTATATAAATTCTTTTCAAAGCGAAGATTATTATCCTCTAGGAATACTTTCTCTTCTGGGCCGTAAAGCAACCTATATTTAACTACTTTTTTATATGATTTTACTCATCCAAGCACCACCAAAGCCAAATTAATTGCATTTTTAACTACGAATTTCGACAACTCAACTTGACAACTGCACAATGTAACCTACAATAGTTTATACATAACCACAATTAGATTTATAACTAGCTTAGTTTGTTTTAATCAATGCGACCAACTTGACAACTGTATTTACCAACCAAAACCCTAAATTTGCAAGGTTGCCGCAGTCCAGATAAAAAAAATGAACTTTACATTTTGCATTTTATTTGGACAATGCAACAGATTGTAAGGCAATCAACATCTAACTAAAAGCTAATTTTACTGCCTGACTAAAGCACACAAAGTCTCAGCATGTCAATGTGTATTTACATTTGCTTTTTAGATATGAGTCTCGAATGGTGTAAAATGCCAGAATCAGGTTTGCCCAAACCAGATCTTACTTTTTTGCTAATGGTTGATGATGAAGCTTTATCTCAAAGGCCTGGATTTGGAAATGAGAGGTATGAAAAAAGTGAAATACAGAAAAAGGTAAAGGAAATGTTCAGTGATATGTGTACCAAAGAAGACACCTGGAAATTGGTTGATGCCAACAAACCCATCAAAGACGTCCATGATAGCATGTTGCAAGATATCTTGAAAGTAATTGAGGGTGTAAAGAATCGGGATTTGCAATATTTTGATTTTATTAATAACAGGGAATCTCAATGACCATTGTATTTAAGTTTTAGGTTTATTTTAAAATGTGTAATATACAAGAAAACAATATAATTTATACTAAATTATCTTCTGTATTTTCTGGCGATTCCTCTTCTCTTTTTCTTTTTCCTTGGTTTTTCTTGCTTTTTACCATTTTTGCATCACCAACCCTAAGAAAAACGAACATACCTACACTAAAACTTAATAACAAAAACAATTAACTTACATTGCTGTAGATCTGGTTCCAGGTCCCCAAAACGGCAAGGGGTTTTCCTGGAATCTCAAAAAGCCCATTTTTCGGGATGCGGGATTGGCATCCGGATGATGTGTAAAGTCGTATTCTTTTTCCGGCTGTTTGTCCAATATATTTTTGGCTGGGGAATTTTCGTGCAACCTTTTCTCTGATACCGGGTTTAACTTTTGCCAACACCGCATTATATCCCATATCACTGTGGCGGGAGCGTCAGTTTTCAAAGATGTTTTATGCATATGAGTGAATGAAACCTTATATCCAGCGTTTAAAATGGCTGACCTATAGAATAACAAAGTGATTTTTTTTTAAATAAAAAAAATTCTTACAATATTGAAACTTGGCAACATGCTTTTAGTTTCCTGCCAACTTACCTGATTGTCATGACAGGTGGCGTTGAGACGTGTAAAGTACCGGCTAGTTTGTCAAGAACGTAGTAAAGAGGTTGATCAACTAATTCCTCGCTTATAACACTTAAAACTCCGTGTATTCTTTTGAATGTGCCCAATTTATCCGAAGCAGACATTAAAACATCACTAACGAAAGCGGGGTCGTGGAGGGGGGCTGACCAAATTGGCCCACCCATCTAAACATAAATTTAAAATTTAATTTTTATTAGATTTAATTGTTCGTGTTTATTTACGTGGTACGATTGATTGCAGTGCTGGCATTTTTTATTAACACTTGGACCAGTCGGAATTGAAAACTTAACATTTTTAGGGTTTTTTTCGTTTTTCTTTAAAACACCCAAAGGTTGTAGTTCAAAGCTATCACAGCCTGTACAGTTGAACACGTAGGATAATTTACTGAAATAAAATAAAAAATAAAGAAAATAGTGGACAATTATATATATATATAGCTTAGGCTAAAGGCTCAAGATGACATTCTCAATACTGTAACATCTATATCCATTCTTAAGACATTTAAAGTTGACATTCAACTGTTAACCAATTTCCTGGAAACCCTTTGTTTAATATAAAGTGTTAAAAAAACATTTTATTTTTACTAATATCTGAAAAACCCAAACAATATTACAACTTTGTCATAACAAGGTTTTATAGGTAGGTATATTATAATAATATTTAAAAGCGAGATGCGAAAAAGTTTTATTTCTAATTGTTTCATGATGAACAAATTAAAAGCAGTGGCGTGCCATAATATTTTCAAAATTAATATCAGAAAAGTGTGAGAATATATTGAAAATAATTCGACAGATATTTCTAAAACTTGTTGTCTGGCAATAGGATCTCCATGTTTTATGAAGATTACTGTAACCTCTATGTACAGGGTGATCCCCTATAATGTCGCCCCCCTTTAACTTTTTTATTTTAAGTGTCCTAAAAAATTTAAAAGTTTGGTTATGTAGGAACTAAAAAATACTTTTTTTCTACCTATAAAGAAAATTGGAAAATTGATCAGTATACAGGGAAAAACAAAAAGTTTATTTTTTTTTCAATGGATCACCCTATATATGAATTTATTTTTCGATTCCTTGTAAAATTCTGAGCATAATTCATATAAGAAACCATATCCTAAATTCAACTGTTTCTGAAATATTCGCATTCGAAATGTTATGATTAAAGGTTTTTTTAAACTGTTAGAAATCAAGAAGCCTCAGTATACCAAAATTTTTATTGAAAATAAATTACTATAGCGACATTATGTCAATATTTCTTGTTAAATAAGTAAAAATGACGTACTCAGACAGAGAAAGACAAACTATTTCAAATTATTATCTTAAAAATAATTTAAATATTTCAGAAACGGTTGAATTTAGGTATATGGTATGTTATATGAAATATGCTTAGAATTTTACAAGGAATCGAAAAATAAATACATATATAGGGTGATCCATTGAAAAATAATAAACTTTTTGTTTTTCCCTGTATACTGACTAATTTTCCAATTTTCTTTATACGTAGAAAAAAAGTATTTTTTAGTTCCTACATAACCACACTTTTAAATTTTTTGGGGCCCTTAAAATAAAAAAGTTAAAGGGGGGCGACATTATAGGGGATCACCCTGTACCTATATAATTGTTTCCACAAACCTTTTATATAACCGTTACCAGTATACTGTAGCTATAGCTATAATTGTTAGTTTTCAACGCAATACTTTTTGTCATAATTTTAATTAAAAATTAGTTAAAAAGAAAAAATATACTATTTATAAACACAAATATTTAAAAAGTGGATTAAATCGAGTGTAATGTTTAGCGGAAGAATTTGAATGCATTGCGTTAGAACCATTAAAACTGCATGCAGATCTACGGCAAGTATACTTGATATATGGCGTACACAGTAAGAACAATTTCAGAATATTACGTTGGCCACAGAATAGGCAAAGTTTTATTCTGTAATATATTTACTTTTACAGAATATATTCGGTAAAATCACTCAATAACCGCAATTATTTATGCGTTTATTTGAAACACCATATTTTTATGTAAATATTACAAATTTTTATCCGTAATTTCTTACTGTGTAGTTTTGAGTGGTTAGATGGTAGCCTATCAAAAGTTTTGTAACATCGCTTACTACAATTGTATAAAACTTAAAACCTTATACCCTATAGGTTATATAAAATTACCATGAGCAATATATAGAGGGCTCAGCGTTGATACATTCTTTCTGTCATAAATGTTTTTTATTTAAAATAAATGTTACATTTAAAATGTAAATCAAATTTTATTACAAAAACAACTTATTTGACCAAACCAACATACAAAATTCAACACTTTGTTTAATGTAGGTAAGCAAAATAAAGATATCCAACCCTTAATGTATTCTTGAAAAAATATATACAGGGTGCACCAAAAGCTACAAGGTCGGTTAAACTAGAGAAAAGTTGGAAAAAAATGAGCGGTTCTCAACTAATTAAAAAAAAAATGAAAACCTGTCAAAACCAAAAATCGTTCCTGGGAAATTTTGAGAATAAGTTTCACATGTAAACATAAACTAAACATAAACATAAATTTATCTATATTTTCATCCTTCATCAAATTGAAATTTTACATGGTTAGATAGAAAAAAATAAAAAAAATCCAATGACATAACTTATGTTGTTTGATATAAGGCTTGTAACAACGCAAATTTCTTCTAATTTAACCGACCTCGTAGCTCTTTATATAAAAAAATACCCATAGAAGTATAGACCCAACCAAACAAGCCCATATAAATGATATAAATATTTCTGTAACCCAATTAAGAAATTTAAGTTGTATAATTTGTGTGATATGACATTTAAATTAATTAATTAATTATGGCAACTATAAAAAAATGTTGATTGGGGGATCCATATTATTAGCACACTTTCCCCAAATTAACATTTGTTTAAATTAAAATTTCTTATTTAGTATAGCAAATTATTAAGAAAAAAACTTGCTAATTATTGGTTTTTGTTGATTTTGTTTACCTTGTACTAAATTTGCACTTGTGAGCTCCAGAAAATACCTTAACAAAAACTCTAACATAAAAATCAGCCGATAAAGACAACAAAGGTACAATATATCTTCCATATCTATTAGCATGTGACTCAATGCATTGTAAAAGGATCCTCAAAGACTAAAACAAAAACTATTATTTCTACACCCTACAATACATTTATATTCATACCATTTCATGACAGTATTTTGATTTTAAGGATATGGCCCCATATTTTGAATAACAGGTTTCAGGTGAATTACCAGCTAAAACTGCCATATCTGTAGCTGTCACTAATAAAAGACCCCCATCTTTAACTGCTTGTATGGCAGAATCAAGGAATATTGAAGGACAACCGTAAGGATCCAAATCAATTACATCAAATTGATTATCTCTCTTGTGTGCATACATTAACAAACTAAAATTTACAAGAATATAAAATTCTCATTGTTTTTTAAAAACTATCTTACGTTGCATCATTTTGAGCTGGTGTAACAAGATGATTAACATTATTTTCTTCAACATTCCTCTTAATATCCTCAACTGCCTTAATGGAAATATCATTTGCTACAATTTCTTTAATACCTGGTATTTCCTTAGCATATCGTATACTTCTCAAACCTGTTGCTGATAAGGCTTCTAGCAAATAAATACCATCATCATATTTTATACCAGCTTCTCTGGGCTCGTCTATTGCTGTCACAATATCTTCCTCCTTTCTTTTATTCTCCTTTTTCCATGGAATATACTTTTTCGCGAAAGTACTTATAACTGTCAAACTATAATATAATGAAAATGGTGAATTTTGCTAGTTAATGTACTTTTTACCTTAAATCTCTATTAAATTCTTGCACTGGATTGTAAAATACACTTCCAAGTGTTGTTATTTTCGCTAAACCCTCTATAATTGACTTGGAAGAAGCCATATTTTCAAAAAATAGTAAATATAACCTCAAAAAAATATGGGGTTAAGTCACATTTCATTGTCTCAAAACTAGTTTTTAGCTTTCAAATTAGCTAAAGGCCAAAAAATTTTGAAGAAGAAGAAGAAGAATGTTATGTGCCCTGTGATAGTACAGCTAACCGTAACTAGGTGGCGGTAGTGGTACAGAGTAGTTCAAATAATTTCAAAGCAGCCAACATTTATAGTAGTTTTAATGTAACGTTGTCAATGTTGCCAACCGTGGAAAACTTATTTAATTTTTGACGTTTAAGTAAAATTTCGTGTTTTTGTTGATTTTTAACAATTTAAAACACAGTGTTTGTCTGTGATTTAAAATGAGTTTACGTGATGCAGGGGGTTCCGATATACTGGAACAATTTAAAAATACATCTAATAAGGTTAAAAAGTATGATTTAATTGCATTTTACTTGTAAACATTATTAATAATGTCTTTTTATTAGGAGATTCTTACGAAAACCTAATTTAACAGAGGCTTGCGATAGTTTTACTAACTTGGCACAACAATGCGAATCTCTAGAGCTGCCAGCTTATGCAGGGCTGTGTTGGATAGCCACTGCTTGTTGCGAAGGCTCTTTGTCGAACCTTCCTGGTGAGACAAATTGTTTATTAAAAGCTGGAAGGCAATTTTTGAAAGCCGAAGAAATAGATCATGCTTTGGGTTGTCCTAGACCTAGCAGTGAGAACTTACAGGCTGGTTTGAGCTGTATAACACATGCTATAGAGAAGTGTGGGGATAGTGGCCCTATGAATGTGGGATATAACTTGGAAGTGGTAGATTTCTTAAACAAGATCGGTCAAGGGGAATATTCAGAGACATATTTGCACAGTGCTGTGAATTTAAGTGAAAACAGGCCAGATACTAAGGTGTATTGTTTGGAATTGTTGGCAAAAAAGTTTATTGAAAATGGGGACTTTGTGGCAGCTTTAGAAACATACACAGAAATATCAAAAATTCTGGAGAATCTGCCAAAGAGTGGGTCAAGATCCGATTTGCTTTTAAAGTGTGAGATAAACTCAGTTTTTCTCTTATTAATATTGAAACCTTCACCACAAAAATTGTCAAGTAGATCGGCTAAAATTCTTGTTAAATACACCTGGGGGGACCAATCGGACAGCAGTTTAAGGGGTTAGTTCAAACAAAACCATTTACAAATTTAACTTGTATTGCAATTTATATTATTTTTAGCTTGTAAAATGACAGAAAAGATGTTTCTTCTAATGCAATCCTTGGTTACAATATGCCAGTCGGTTGATACTAGCAATTTAATAAGTTTGGAAGGTGAATTTTGGAATCTTCTAGAGAAAAGTGAAAAGGAATTGTTAAGGGTTTTGGTGCAAAGCTATTATCCTTAATGCAGTTTTTTTTGTGATAATCATTTAAGATAAAGGTTTATTTTAAGTTATAATTATGTATTATTTGGCTTACTTTCCTAATGAAATTGTTAATAAACAGCAGTTTTAAAATAATTTCTTGATGGAAAAAAAAGTGTTAAATAAACAAGGGCTTTATTTTAAAAGGGTTTAGTATAATCAAACAAAGGTGAGGTTTGGTACAACTCTCAGTAGCTTTTTTATTTGTTAAAATTTGATTAGACAAAGTTTACTTAATGCCACAGAACATAATGCTAACGTTGACAAAACAATCTGACATCAGATTATCTCTGATTCAGATATCTATGTTTTAATTGTTTCAAATAACAAATTTTCGATTGCGCCATCTATTTTGGAAAAGTTAAAGCATAAAACGATGCCTACTTAGATATCTGGTAGATGGCTGCAAGAATTAAAAATCTACCTTATCAACAAAAACTTCCACACCAAAACAAAGTTTCTTGCATGGCGTCGTTTGAGACCTCTGTGACTTTTTAATTACAACGAACAGTGATTGAATTGGTATTTTAAAACAGTGCTGTCAGTATATAAACAATTAGTGTTTGTTGTTGATTTAAGTCTGAAAGGTAAGTTGAAATATTGCAAATAACATCGTAGTAATTTTTTTAACCTACCTACATAAGTAGATTCGGGTATTCCCGTACGCCATTATGATAGTCCTAAAGACTATATTTGCGACTACTGTCCAGGTTTGCAGCACTAAATATTTACTATAGACCACATTTTTTATTTTCTTGTATGCTATTATTTATGTTTGTATACCAAATATATTTCATTTGTTACCTTTTTTATATCTAGTTTATGCATGTACTGTAATACCCGCAATGGAGGGTAATGCCGAACATGAACCGTTTTTTGAAATATACATTTTTGCATTCCTGGCTTAATATCAATTGATACAAATACATTAATGTATTTGTTTCCACCGGATATCACTACAGGGTGTTATGTAATTATTGTTATATATTAAAATACTGAATACCTTTTGACATAAGAAGTTAAGGAAAAATATTTAAAAAAATATTTTTCCAAAGATAAAGAAAAAATATGCATTAGAAGTTTTTTATATTTTTTGTGACACGCCACTGGTTACACACTTGTATTCTGTGAGTACATAGATACCAACCAACAAAGTAGCTGCGCGTTGCCAGATGTAAAAAAAATCTTACTAAAAATTTTTCTTGCAAAAAATAAATAAAAACTCAATAAATACAAAAGTTTTATGCCCTTAAAGCTCTAATACCCGTCTGTATTTATTTACTCATCCAGCTAATAGCTTAAGCAATGATTAGAAAGTTTAGTACCTATTTTAAAAAATCCATAACCACAAAATTAATTTTTTCATCGGTTTTTTTCTTTCTGTTTACTCAGATGAAATTGGGACCAGTTCACAGGTTAAACTTTAAAAATTTAATTTGTGTAAATAAATCCAAAAGCACTTCCCTTAGTTAAGATATTTACAATTTGAGCACATAACCTAAAATTTTAAAGAAATGCACTAGATTCTGTCATAAAAGTTGGCAGATTTTGTTTGAAGTTACCTTCAGAACAAAAATGACATAACAAACAATTAATTAAAACGCCAAATTAACAATTTGCATTGTTAATTTTGTCATTTTTGTAATTAAGCTACATAAATTTAAACAATGATTGTCAACTTTTTTGACAAAATTTGGTTGTTACCAACCATAACATAATAAATTAAATAAGGCAACCTGATAAGTCTAAAGTTCCTAGTCGATCAGTGGCGTACTTTTTGGTAGGATAAAGGTTATTATAAATTATTTTTAGTCTTTGAAATTTAGAAAAAAAAAGTTTCAGGTGAAATAATACCTACTACATGTGAAAATTATTTTCTTATCTCAATACAAAAATACAAAAGTATTAAATAGTTTCTCAACGCCAATATTTGAAAAGTTTATATGAACATTGTACTGACCTTTTAATTTCGCCGGCAGTAAACTATAACTTAAATTCGGGCACGGACTCCACTGTAAAGTGCTCATAAAACATTTTCTTTACTTTCACTGTGAAAAACTGCCAATTTTCAAGAAATACATTTCGATTTATAACCTTTATAATCTGTGTTTATAAAATTTGACATTTGACGGTGACACACAGATTCTCCTATTGTTTCATAGATGGCGCTCTATACAAATTTTTGATTTAAATCATTTTAATATAATAATAAGTATTTGTCGTAGAAAAAGTATATTATGCACCTCGTTTATAAACTTTTCTCTAAAATGGCGTTGTTTTCAATCATAAAAAAACAAATTTGACAAAAATAAATTTAAAGTATTTGCATACGGGGGCAAATACCTTTAAGAAAATGCCTAGATTAATCTTTAAAAGGTGAGTGAAATAAGGAAAAAGTTAATAATATATTTTTATTTATTCAAATTTTAATGTTTCTACATCAAAAAGGACCATTTTGTGTTTGGTTATCATTTATAGATATTAATAAACAATTTTATACAACATTCCTATGATATAACTGCGTTTTGGTTTCACTTTAACGTTAAATAATAATAATAAACACTTTAACAAATCGGATTAAAACAGTAAAAACAGTACACAGTTAGAGGTTCGTTTTAGGCAGAACCTAAAAGTTATCCTTGCTACACTTTATCGCAGATAAACCGTTTGCTACACGTCGGAACAAACCGGTTGCATCGGAAGTTTGTTCCAACACTACGCACAGTGGTCCTCGACTAGCCATGTTTTTTATGAAAATGGCGCCAAAAAATAGGTTCAGATATTAGTAGCTACATGCCTAGGCATGTACATCAAGGTTGCAAGTCAAATCATAGCTGATCATAAAAATTTGTTTTTGTGATACTTTTATTTATGTTTACATTTGACCATTGTTTTAAATTAATTTCAATAATTGGCACATACTTGGAGGTAACAAAAGTTTACATATAGGTTCATTGATAATATGGCACTGAAATATTTGATTAACTTGTCGGTTGTCAGCCTAGGTTTGGTCTAGGGTTGTCAGTTACTGTTTGCCTTAAAACAAAAATCTAATAATTTTTGTCGGTTTTATTGTTACTTTTATGATAAAATGAACCCTATTGAAATTGTAAGCAACTATTAGCATAACAGCATGTGGGCAGAAAATTATTATGGGTAATACAAAATCGTCGAAATTTTTAATTACAGAATCCTAAGTTCCCAATTTCAATTTCCATCTGCAATACTTGTCGCCATGGTATCCCAAAATTTAAAAGCCAATTATTATGTAAAATTGTCCCCTGAATCCGAAAATACCGTCAAAAATTATGAAAGTTTAGCAGTTTTTGAGATATAGTCAATTCCATATTAAATGGAAAATTGACTATATCTCAAAAACTGTTCTACTTTTTTAACTTTTGAAGACATTTTCGGATTCAGGAGACAATTTTACATAAGAATTGGTTGTTAAATTTTGGGATTCCATGGTTAACCATGGTTCAAGTGAAAAAGCCACTAATAACTAATTTAGTCATTTTTGACTAATTCATTTTTAGAGAGCTGGGCTTTCAAAGTCTCTTAAATTGCACGTCATTTTGGAACATATTACTCAATCTTTGCAGTTTCTTCAAGAAGGTGGACTTGGTTTATGGTCAGAGCAAGCAGGATAATCTATTCATAGAGAGTTTGTCAAGTACTGGAACCGATATAAAATAAATCTCTTACAAGATCCTTGCTATCAAATCCAGTTAAAAAAAGCTGTTGTTGAGTTCTCCTCTAGACATTTGTAACAAATATTTAGTATATGTGAATTTGTTTTGGTCAATAACCTTTTTTCACTGTAAAAATAAAAAGTACTTTTTTAAAATTGTTGGAATCTTAAGGCTATGTAAAAATGCGAAATTGTTACATCCATAAAATTAGTTAATGATCAGCTACGATTTTACTTGATGAATTTTTGCAATGCTTATAGATATACCTATCAAAATCCGAACTCATTTTTTGGCGCCATTTTCATACAACCCATGGCTAGTCGAGGACCACTGTGTACGTGTGGAACGAAATTACGTGCGCATCACTCACACTGGCGTAGTCCTCCTGAGGGTGTCGGAGTCGAAGGTCGTTTTCCTCAGGGTCCCGTTCCGCGAGCTGATCGAGACGATGCTGGGCGCCCGCACCGACAGCGGCTGCTCCAGGTCGAACTGCACCAGCTCCTGGTGATGGTCGCGCGACGTGTAGTCGTCGAAATGACGCTGCTCGTCGACGTCGACGTCGAAATCGTCGCAGTTGACGACGTCCGCCGTCGTCGATACCGTGTTGGTGGTGACATCTCGCGGGAAATTCCTGCAACAATAAGAACCCTTGAACTTAATACACCTACGAGTGTAAGCAGAGTGCTGCTGCTGCAAAAAGCGTTAAAAATCAAAGTTTGAGAAGGCTATTCACCTGAGATATTCACGCGAGAAGTGCTCATCGAATTGGTAGCTAATTGTTGGCGGGGGTGGAAAGTCGTAATACGCCCCCACGTCTTTGTCTTCTGAGGGGGAACGCAGTAAACCGCCTCCAACCCTGTGAATACTGCACGGAGACTCCGGCATCGGTTCTTTGCTGAAGAAGAACTTTTTGTGACCTAAAAATGAAAAAAAGATAACTGTATTTACTTGAACTGGCTAAAAATTGTTTAAATCTAAAATGTCCAAAAATTGTCAAAATCTAAAACGAAACTGTCTAAAGTATTCTAAAACCTCCTCTTCTATTCCTTTCACCAGTAAATTTTTCTTTTATTTAACATTCACAAGTTTATGTTAAAATCATTGTCATCAATACGCTAAAGAAGCATCCTGTTTTTGCAACGCTCGGGCCATCTGGTGGCGCTTGATAGCATTGTGGGAGTTTAAGAATTGTCAACTATACATTGAAAGCACATCATTTTTAAATATATAATATATATATTTAATATCGACCCATGCAACGAAGACTATTGTAACTCAGTTTTGATTGTAGACTAGAGTAACTCAACTTAATATAGTTTTTTCCTGTAGGAATGTGGATTATTACACTTACTATACAGGGAAGTTGTTCACTGGTTGCCTATCGTTTCATGTCTGAGTTACTGTAATCTTCCACCAAATAGAGATTGAAAAAATCTGTTGATGCCATATAGTAAGTCAAAACCCACGTTTTTTGAGTTACTATAGTCTTCGTTGCATGGGTCGATATAATATAATAAAAATTTTTCGTATATAATACCACTAGTGGTAAAATTTTACCGATAAAATTTTTGATTTTATTTACGAATGTTTTTTTCTTGGAAATTTCGCAAGTGGCATTAATTTTTAAGTTAATGCCACAAGCGAAATTTCCAAGGAAAAATCTTGAGTAAATTAAAATCAAAAATTTTTTCAGGGAAAATTTTATCATGAGTGGTATTAGGCAACACTATTTCACGAATATTTTTTTAAAATTAGAAATAACTACCTATTCAATTTCTGAACGATTTTTGACCAAAACGCATATTTTTTGACATTTTTATTTTAAAATTAGAAACGTCAACATTGACAATTATTTTTCGCAAAGCAACCAATTGGTGTTTTTTTCGTAAGTAATATCATAAGGGCATCTAATTTTTCCGAAAAAAATCGAAAAAACACGTTGCGATGTAATATTTTAACAATAAGAATGAGTGCTGGTGGCAACAAAAATCCGAGTCGAAGACGAGGATTTTTGCACCTGCACGAATGCATTTTGTTAAAAAATATTACTTAGCATTGTGTTTTTTCGATTTTTTTCACAGGAAAAATTAGATGCCCAAATGGTATTTGACAAGACTATTTCATGAGTAACAGTTAACAATTAAAATATAAATTGCAATTTTGGTGACAGCTGTCAAGTTTTGCCGCAGGTAAACTCGAAGAAACTGCTGACAGGTGCTGTCACACAGTTTTTTCACCTAGAAACCATTTGTAATTCAAAATTGCGCGTTTGTGATTGGTGGAAATTAAGACGATGGAAATAGTCACCTAAACACACTCGTTTTTTGAAATCTGATTGGTCCATAAAGTAATGAGTGGAATAGTCACACAAAAAAACTCGACAAATTTTGTACGCAAAGTATCAATCGCGCACGTTATTTGTATTTCGCGTTGCAAGTAAAAACTAAAAAACTCTGGTTTAGTAGGTACTCGATTTTGATTAATTATTCATCATCATTGATTAAGAAACTCAACTCTTATGTTTATATAGTTACGTAAGTGTTTTTTAAGTGATCCTGGTGAATTATTGTTTCTAATTCACTTAATTTATCGCATTTTCAAAAAAAAAATGTTACTCGTAAAAAGAGAAAAATCGATATTTCTGTCCTTTTTTCAAAAATTTCCTACGGGTGAACAAAACAAATTTAAGCAAAAAGAAAAAATATGGGTCTCATCTATTTCGGTAGAGAAACTGTAAACAAAATTTCGTTGTAAAATAATGACCCACCCCTTTTTGCATGGTCGATTTGAGATGGAAAGACCCAAATGTAATTCAAAAACTAAATCTTTGCATTTTCATATTTTGCCAAAGGATCCAATTTGGTACCTACGTATATTTGTTGGTGCAGATTAACTAATGATAAATTTCCAATATAATTTAAGTTTGGACATTTTAAGAAATCTATCAAAAATTAAAATCAAACATATTTATATTTAAGTCCTCTAAAAAAACGCCGGCAACTGCATTTTATAATATAATTAGAATATAATAATAGTGAACGACAAAATATATCAACGAATTCATGGTAACATAATATTATAATATAGTATATTATACACTGCCCGTCAAAATTAACGCATAATAAGTAAACAAATTCTAACTCTAAAACGCCTTTACCACTCTTAATGAAATTTTGTATAAAAATACTTCAACTTATATCTCAGTTTACGTGTTCGAGAGTTTAAAAAATAACAGGGAATTTTTTTTAACTAAATAAAAAATATGCTGTTAACCGTATTTTTGTTAGTATACCCTGAAAATTTTGTACAAATCAAACGAACAGTAACGAAGATACAGCGCTTCAAAGTCGGTAAAAATGACCCCTTTTTGATTATATTGCTGAAAAATGGTAATTTTTGACGATTTTGAAGCGCTGTATTTTCGTTACTGTTCGTTTGATTTTTACAAAATTTTTAGGGTATACTAACAAAAATACGGTCTTTCACAATAATATACCTAGTTTTTATTTACTAAACAAAAATTTCCCTATAAAAGTTTTTTTCGAGCGTTTTTTCGAAAAACCCTTGAACACATAAACTGAGATATAAGTTGAAGTATTTGTATACAAAATTTCATAAAGATTGGTAAAGGCGTTTTAGAGTTAGAATTTTTTTACTTATTATGCGTTAATTTTGACGGGCAGTGTATAATACATGATATAATACCCGTTTTTCGTTTTTTTACCGTTGAGTGGAGACTTTCTCAAACAACGCTTTTAATAATGCATAACGCTGTTTGAATTTAAACGATTTATTTGTTTTATGATTTTTACTGAATTGAAATGTTTACAATTTTCTCGAGAATCATTACTAAAATGTGTACTTATTGTATCTAATAGGTACAATACATATTTACTGCATGTAATTTATTTATTAATTCGGGTTTTCAATGTTTATTGGGAAACCGTTAAAAACTCAACCCAGGATTTCCTCCAGAAAAACACCCAACAACACAACAAATCGTTGCAACTTTTTTTTTTCGTCCTTGTTCTTAAGGAACTTGTTTGTAAAATATGCGTTTAACAGCTGATTATTAAAAGTTGTAGTTTGATAACTGCCACGTGGTGGCGCTACAAATTTACTATTTTAATAATACACTGCTCAAACAAATAAGCGGAGCGGAAGTTTGGAAGGCTTTAATTTTTTCAGCGTTTTTTATTTATTATTCGTTAAATATTTAATAGTAGCAAAAAAATGAGAATGTACAAAAAATATAGTAGTATTTTTGGCCAATCAGCGAATTAAAAAAAAAGCATTCAAGAGTTCTTTGGTACAAAGTAAAACGTCAGTTTTTAATAGTGCTGTGTCCTTATGCGCTACGTATCAAATTTGATAGTATATATAGTATACTAGCCCATCCCTCATCTGCAGACTTTGGCACAGATATCAAACAAACTGGTAGCTACTCTAGAAGCTGTACTAGGCCATAAACAGGCTTATTATGGAAAGCAAGAGATCTAGGTGATGCCGTGGCCTGCAATGAGTACGGATCTTAATCCATTAGAACACGCCTGGAATATGCTTGATAGGCGTATCAGAAAGCGCACCTCTAACCGTACTACAGTTGGCCGAGTCTCTTTTTGAAAGAATGGGAAAACCCTCCACAAGAGCCAAATAAAAAATAAAAAAATGCCTACTCACTATTAACTCCACAGGGGCTTCTTCCAAAATGTATGGCGCTGTTCGAGTTGATGTAGGCTTGAGGATGTCTTCTACATGGATAATACATCGTGGAATCATAATGGTTGGCACAATTGTTGCTCAAAATGGGCGTTGAGTTTCCTTTGCGTAGATCTTCGTAATATCTGCGAGCCCAGTCGTATTGCATTTTGCGGATGAACAGAAATATCGCGCATATTCCAGCTATTTTAGTGGACACCAAGCCGACCACGTAGAGAAGGAAGGAATAGCCGTATGAGTAAATGAATACGGGCGGTTCCAATTGAGATCTGGGCTTCAGCTTGCCACCGATTTCCGCTTTGAATATCGATATATACATTATAAGGCCAAACAACATCACAAGTCCTAAAACAAATAAATTTTCTTAATTAAAGGTGTCAACATAATTCCTTTTAAAAAATAAATATTTTTGATTACAAGATCTAAATTTTGGTTGAGGTAGTTTCATCTGGTATAGCTCTATTATTACATTTTTATTATTATTATTATTATTATATTTTATTAAACAAAATTTAACTGGTAAATGTAAAAATGTTCTAATACCGGACATTAAGCAGTCAATTCCTATGTAAAATTGTCCGCAGAATCTGAAAATGCTGTCAAAAGTTATAAAAGTAAATCAGTTTTTGAGATATCGTCAATTTTCCATATAATATACTATATCTCAAAAACTGCTCTACTTTCATAATTTTAGACGGTATTTTCGGATTCAGCGAAAACTTTTATATATGAATGAAATATAAAATGTTCGGAATACAAATTGCTGTGGACAGTTATTAGTGGCTGCTTTTTCGCTGTGACAATTAGTCATTTTTGACTAAGCCAAAAGGTTAGATGGTAACTTATTTTTTTGTTTGGCGAAATAAAATTTTTGTTGTTGATTTTTGGCGATTTATTTTTTGCGGTAAAAATCGATTTTTTCCGTTGAACGAAAAAGCTTTTTTTTTAATGCGTATAAAAATTGACCAATTTTGACAATTGAACTTGCAAAATGCTTGTACTTATTAACACTTTCCATTAAAAGTAACAAAAATTTTAAATTCATTGTGATAATTTTTTTATACGATAAAAAAAGAAAAGTACGGAATTTTTTCAAAATTTAACTTTCAAAAAGAGTATTTTATATTTTTTTTATCAAAAAGTAGACAGTCCAAACTGCTTTTTCGCGGATCCAGCGATTTATAAATTATTTAAAGAAAATTTAAAAAACGTTTAAAGATTTTTTTAAAAATATTTTTCAGATTTAAAACTTGTATTATTTTGTTCAAAAAACCTAAAATATTCCAATTTGTAAAAATAAAATTAAATAAATAAATTTAAAACATTAATTTTACCAACTTTCATGTTTTGTTAATTTTTTAATTTTTTTGATAAATTAGTTAAAAACTGATTGGCTAGCTATACTATAGTAAAAAACTAAATAGTTACCTACTAATTACTAATATGTAAACCTAAATAATTAAATAAATTATAAATAATATTTTTACAGGACTTCTTTATTTCGTATATTTAATTTTTTAGTAAATTTATCCTCTTTTAAACCCCATAATATGAATTATATATATTTACTGGACAATTAAATATTTGTAAAACATTAAACTGATTAATGTTGGACTGACATATACATAACCTCAATTATTTATTTATTTTAAATATCAAGGGACTTTAAGGTGTGAAAAATAGTACTATAAAATTGTTTTATTTATTTTGCGTTCATAATGACTTCATTATAACACCGCTTTCGGTGCTGTAATGAGATACTTTATCCAACCCAAAATTTTGATTTTATAGGTTGGCTATACTTTAAACAGCATAATATTTTGCATATTGGTTATAATATTTTTATGATTTTTCTCGTACTTACGAGACTTTTCTGGCAATAAATTTTGTTTAACACTACTTAAAGAAAATCTTTTTTTTTCTTTAACATTAACAGCCGCTAATTGTAAATAAGTAAATTAAGGACGGCATGGCGAATCAATTTTGACATTAACTGTCAAACCAATGACTGATACCAATTATCTAAAGTAAAATTCGAACAAATTAAATTTAAGGAATAAAATTAATTTTTTTATGGAATTTTTGCAAAATAGATAAAATAGCATAAAGAACTCATGTCATAAAACCTTTTGTCGCACTCGTCCGTTACAAAACTCGATCCTGACGTCTTATGACAGTTGTTTAATATACTATTTTAATTTAACCAATAGTTTACGTACTACAATTAAAAAATCTTAAAAAAAATGTGATAGAAACAACAAATTTGTGAAAATGTAAATGTACTATAAAGTTGCTATTTAACTTTTTGGTCTATTAAAATAGTTGAGTTGAAAAATCTAAAAAACGTGTAGGTAATTTTTAAAAAAAATTGCATTTTCCAAAATATGAACGGTAGAAACTTTATCGTACTTTTTTGTAATTTATATAGGTTTTATAAAAATAAATTGAAATTCTGAGAGGTCTGTGAAATTAATTAGGTAACAAATTAATAAAACTCAAAATCGTGGGGTAATCCCGGCGCGTTCGCCATTTTTGACAAATTACCCGCAGTAAAGGTAATTAAAAGTAAAGTGAAAACTTTTTAATAGACGCTGATAAACTGTAAAAGTTGGCTTGTATATTATTGAATTATTTTCGAGAAGAGAGTTCGTGCTTTTTTGCAAGAGAAAAACTTTCGCAAACCATCATTTGATAAAAGCTCCTTTCCGCTGCAATCTGTATAATAATTGCGCTTAAAAGTCTTTTAAAATCTTCTTATTTTTTTGTTGGCGCGGGGAAATATTAGAAACTCGCGCAGTCCCGGCAAACTTGCTCTCTCAAAGTGGAATTAATGACAATTAAGGCAAACTTAGAACTAAAACGTATAATGAGTAGAATTTACTTGGTACGAACTATTTTCTTTTTCTGTTTGCTTTCAATCCGCACTTTCTAAAGATACTTACCTTGATCGTTTTTCTTATTCTTTTAAGTAGCCTTTTTAATTAGCTCTTTATTAAACTCATTTAAAAAGTTTGTAAAATGATATTATGCTTATTCGAGTTTTTCTGTTTTTACTGTTTCTGTTGACAAAAAATTTCATTTATTTTTGTCTTTAGTTTCTTTAGGTTCGTCATTACATTGTTAATTTAGTCATTTTTGTTTTATGCTTATGTTTTTTGTCAACGATGAGATTTTGCATTATTATGTATCAAATGTACATTTGACATTTTTGTTTTAATGGTTATGAAACTATTTTTTTCTAATGTAATTTGGCCTGCTAAACTCAAAAAGCACAATACAAAATTTTTGGCCCAAAATAAGAAAATAAGAATGCAAAATTCACCCCTTTTCCAAGAACCAATAAAAATCACGGGGCTCCCACGGCTAAATTACAAATTTTATTTAGGAATTTAGGAGGTTTTTTGGAGAATTTTAAATAAAAACAACTCTACACTACTTAAAAAATAAATAATTCTAACTATGTAGTTTTTTTAGCCAAATCGCTCGACGAATTTTTTTTTAATAAAAAAAAGTCAGGTAAAATTACTACTTTTTTATATACACACGTAGAAATTTCACCATACTTATAATTTTATTTAAAAAAAACGCGTCGATGGATATGGCTAAAAAATTAGGCCAAAGTCAAATGATGTTATGTTTATATATATATTTTGAGAAAATTTTTTTTAACCGTTTTGTTAATAATTAACAATATTGTAATCCGGATCTCATAATAGAAAAAATATAAAGTTTGCATAATACAGCAAAACATTCTTTAGATTGTTTACTATTTATTTATCATTTAAAAGAAAATGAAAAATCCTAGTTTGATATACGTATAAATCTTAAAAAAACAACAAAATATAGCTAAAAAACAAAACCCATCTAGAAGCTACTAAATGGATTTTGTTTTTAGGTATATTTTATGTTTTTTAAGAAAAATGTAGGTTGTGATATATAATTTTAAAAAGAATTTAATAAACTAGAACCTAAAAATATATATTTTTAAATTACTTTTTAAAAAAGATTTTTTTTAGCACGACTACCTTAATTAAACGCAGTCAAGTTGGCCTACTTATTTTAGAGGTTTTAGGAGATTGATGGCAATTTTAGGAGAATTTTAGGAGTTTTTAAGATTTAAGCCAAATTTTAGGAATATTATGTGTTTTAGGAGGTGTGGGAGCCCTATATTGAGATGATTTAATCATCTCAATATGACCATTTTCGAATTATTTACACTTTTGTATGGAAAACAAGGTATTTACGAAAATTTTTTATAATAAATGACACAAAGTTATGACCGTTTATATACGTAGCACAATTCAACTTTTTCTTTATTTTTTAACTTTATTAGGACATTATTAGTAGCGTATATTGTAGTAACATGCAAATAATTTACAATACATTTTAAGTAAAAATAACTAATTTTTTTTATCTACTATATTGACGCGCTGTGACTTTATGTCGTTTTAGTCACGGGCTGAAGTTAGCAACAGTGACTTTTGGGCATTTTAGTCACAGGATGAAGTTGTCTTTATTATAAATTAGGGAAAAGTGAGGTTAAATCCGTTAAAAGTTGACAGATGTCAAATGTTTAACAAATCATTTTGTCGCACGCGGACAATTTATAAAACAAACGACGAAGGAGCGAGTTTTGTAATGGACGAGTGCGACAAAAGGTCTGACATGAGTTTTTTATGCTATTTTATCTATTTTGCAAAAATTCTATAAAAAAAATAATTTTATACCTTAAATTTAATTTGGTCGAATTTTACTTTAGATAGTCATTGGTTTGAAAGTTAATGTCAAAATCGATTCGCCATGCCGTCCTTAATTTACTTATTTACAATAAGCGGATGTTAATGTTAAAGAAGAAAAAAAGGATTTTCTTTGGTGTTAAACAAAATTTATTGCCAGAAAAGTCTCGTAAGTACCTACTAGAAAAATCATAAATATATTATAACCAATATGCAAAATATTATGCTGTTTAAAGTATAGCCGACCTATAAAATCAAAATGGTGGGATAAAGTATCTCATACCAGCACCGAAAGCGGTGTTATAATTAAGTCATTATGAACGCAAAATAGATAAAGTATGCAACTTGTTCTATAAACTTCTCTAGACGTTCTTTTTATTAAACACTCGCTCGTGCCTAATAAAACTCGTAACTAAAATGGCGTTTATAAAACTTGATACATAATATTAACTTCAATGGATCAGATATTGAATTTCATTTAAAATGATGTGTGGCAAGGTATAGGGTGCTATTTAAATTTTTTTAGTATGAGTAGATTTTGTATGCTGCCCAACTATGGAGAAAGGCAGTAACTGCTAAACAAGAAATTTGTGGGAAATTAGCATAAAC